TTGCTTTCCTTTTAGAGATAGATGTGTTTGTGTTTACCTCTATTTAATTTTGTTTGCTGTTTTTATTGTCCACTTAGTCTCATAAGGGTTTTTGTGATTCCATGGACTCTCTGTTATCCTTGGTATCTTAAATTACCCACTAGCATCAGCAAACTTGCAAGTCACTAAAAGTGATGTCTTGATCTTAAGCAATAAAAGAAATGCACTATTTGCTCTGGGCTGCTGGATTCCAGTGGTTTATATATCATGTTTTTGGAATTATTGAGCAAGAGACATTGTTGTAGAGTGCTTGTGCAGCTTGCAGGCTGAAAGTTATAGATGTGGAGAGCTGTGTCTCTTTCTAGATAACTTATTTCATATTCCAGGTATGAAATGGTGTCTGTGCTGTCTTGTCTGCAGAGACTGGGGAAAGTTCTGTGTCTGTGTTTTACAGGGGGTTGATGAGGCTGTGTTTTATAATCTCTTTGCTTTTCTGCCTTTTGGGACTGTATAAGTGACCTGAAAACGTCATTCCCTAATTATTTGGGCAAAGTTGTCAGCCTGAATATATCAAAACCAAAGAATTTGCACAAATACAGAGTGAAAGTGTACTGACTCTATTGCTCTAAGATGTGAGCAATTTCTTCTGTAACTTGGGTATTTGAGTCTCCAAAAGTGCTCAGTAGCCTCAGATTTGAGGGATTGCTTCTTTTTTTTTTCTCTTAAAAAATAATTCTAAGATTATTTATAATTTTCTTAATAATTCATTATTTTTAGTAGATAGCATTGCTTAATGCCTCTCAAAAATACTTTTGTTGCTCAACCCTCTATTGTCTTCCAGGCACAGGAAACTATATTCTGTACTCCTGTAACTACTATTCTTTACTTTTGTGACAACAATATTAGCATAAACAAGCAGATTAAATAAAGGATGAGATTAAAATAATCACAGTGAGGAATCACCGCTCCCTGCCCTGCTCAGGGCTCTCAAGTGTAATGCTGAGAGCATTGCATGCTGGCTGCCTGCATGCATCATATCAGCTTACAGGCAGCAGCAGAGCCATGCTATTGGGCAGAACAGTTGGGAATTATTATTTATGCAGTTGTGTGTGCAGCTGCTATAAGGGCCAGGCTGGTTTCACAGCAGCAGGGAGAGCCCTCCTGAGTTTGCTGTGTGCTGGACTATGTGTGCTGTGGAGAGAGAGACGCCTGGGAAGGGATACAGGTTAGAGGGAGCAGTTACAGTGCACTTCAGGAATGCAGTCTGTCTATCTGATATTTTGGTTGTTTTGGCTTTTTTCCATTTTGATTAATTGATATTGTTTGTGCTATCATTAATCAAATGTTTTCCACTAACGTCTTCTGCCTGTTGATGAATATTTTCTTTAGCAGTGGCTTTTTTTCCTTTTTTTTTTTTTTTGAGGAGGAAGCGTGTATAAAGGGAAAGGAAGTCTTCAGTAATTCTTTCTTTCTCCCTAGGGCAAAAGATAAAATACAGTTTTATATGCAATATTTTCTTTTTAAAACAATAGTGAAATAATATTTTTGTTATTGTTTGAATTGTCAATGCTGTACGTTACTCTTCAGAAAGCTTCCTTTGGTTGGAGAGTGTTTTATTTCTTATTTTGAAATTTATTGTTAAATTTTCTTGTTGGACAGAGACAAGATTATTGCTGCTTCTTAATACTCTTTCTTCCTAAGGAACGTGGTTGTGTTCTTCAGAAGCACAAAAGTAGTTTTTAAATGCCATACCTGCCTTTGGAGAAACTGGATGAAGCAGAGCTTTTTCTGCTTCCAGTCACACAATATTGATGTCTCCTGTATTCAGTGCTGAAACCCCATCTTCTTTTTCCTTCCTGGAGAAGGCAGGAGGGGAGAAATTGGCACAGAGAGGCCATAAATTCACTTTAGGACTCTTAGTAAGCAGCTGCTTTTAGAACCTGTAATGCTCATTGATATCTTGTTCTTTTTTTTGTGACCCATTTGTGTATTTTTCTCAGTTTTTAAACTCTAATGATGTAAACTTCTTTCATTAGGAAAGTAACTTCTAAGGCTTTGTTTCTCTGGAATTAAAACAGGAACAGTGGTCTCTAAGCCTTCTTGTCCTCTATGAATCCTTAGTTTCTGGAAATGTGGTTCTACCTTTGAGTTTCAGTGAATCAAAAATACCGGTCTTGAGTGTCAAATTTCTGGATATTTTAAAGTAATGCTTTGATGAAACATGAGGATTTATACTTAGCTGACATTGTTGAGTTTTGCTTGCTTCCATCACTGCTTTGCAGTCGCTGTTCCTGAAGCAAACACTGTGGCATGTTTTCAGGAACACTTCTCATGGATAAGAAATGCTACTTTGATTTTTTAAGCCTTCTGATGTTTACATTTTTGCAGTAAACTTTCTCACACACTTTCTGTAAATAATTTATTGCTTTACATTCTTTTATGGAAGAAGAGAGATTTGATAGACTGTTCAGTTGTCCAGTGTCATCGGAGAGGTGGCACTTGCACCCTCCAATCCACTGTCTCTTTTAGAAAACTATAAATGTTAGAATCAGAAAATAAACTTCCCTTTCCTTCACCTTGAGAGCAGTGGTGTGTGTGCTCAGTTGTGTCCTATAGTGACACTGAAACATTTGAGTTCACAGAGTCTGTCACTGCTGCCCCCTGAGATACCTTGATTCCAGTAGGAATGGTTTGTTCTGTAGAAGGTAACATTAGCCTGCATCTCTTTGAGGCCATCCACCGAGTGTGTTGTTATTCTTCCTTGCTGTGATAAACAGATCCAACTGTGTTTACTGTGCATGCAAAGTGGTGTGTGCTGTGTCTGGCTGTGCAAGATGTGTCAGGGCTGATGACTGTGCTCTGCAGACATGGAAATGTGCATTGCAAGCAGTGCTGGGTGTCTCCATGCCAGCCAGGGCCCCTGCTGGATCTGCATTGCCAGGCAAGGGTGGCAGGCTCTGCCCAAATGTGTCACAGTCATGTCACTGCTGGTGCCCCAGCCCTCCTGGGAGCTCTGACCATCAAAAAGGGATGCTTCTGACTGACTGATTTATCACAGGTGTGTAGTTTTTCTTTGGGATAATTTTTTTAATGCAGTCAGCTTCACTACAAACTGTGAAAATTCATTTGGTTATTCCTCAAGTGTGCAATTTATTTATGTCTGTAAAACATCAGAAATAACCCTCAATGGTAAAGATGCCAATTCTACTAAAGAACTTTATCCTCTATAGTATTTTTCAGGTTTAGGTTTCAATTGAATAAGATCAAAAGCACAAGTAAGTGACTCATAAACATGAAAAAGGCAAGAAATAGAAGTGTGGTGACTTAGATGGTAGCCAGTGTTACCATCTGCTTCTGGAATCTAGTAGGCAGTTGTGCCACTTAATATTAGTTGTGTATAACAAACATATTGCCTTCATGGGGCTTTTCTGGTTTGGGTTTTGGTTTTCTAAGGAGCCTCTCATTTCAAATTATCTCTCAGTTATTTAGTCTTCTGTGAAAGTGTTCTGATTACTTGTGGCTATATGGCAGGACTGGTGCATTTTTGACATTGCGATGATGAAACTGCAACAGCAAACAAAGTTCTCTGTGTCTGTTCATGGCAGCTTTCAGAACTAAAGGAATCTGGAAGCTATAAACAAATATTCTCAGTGTTTTAAGATGAAGCTTCCTGTCGCTTCTGTTAACAGTGCTTAGGGATCTGAGGAGGCAAAACTCCTGCAGTTTTACTGACTTTGATCAAAGTCAGAATTGAAATGTACTTGTGTGCAGCTGAGGTGGTGCTCAGAAGGAAGGAGTGTGTGTAAAGGTACGGTGTTAATTTTGTTAGCTGAAATTATTTAGTACTTCTGACCACTGTGGTGTTATGTCAGATGTCTCATGCACACAGCCATCAGTCTGCTTTTTGTGCCTTTGAAATGCTTCAGTTTTTAAGAGATGGAAATGATTGAACGTGTTTCATGTTTCCAATCAGCTGTGAGATACTGGGCTCACATAAACCTGATCACTCACTTCCACCTGGAATCCCTCAGACTGAAAGTGGAGTGGGGATGTTGTCCTTTTAATCTTCCATCCCATGACATCTGACTCAGGGTGATGAGGAAAACAGCTGCCAGCTCTCCCTCTTGCAGGAGGAGAAGTCCCTGCTGTGTCTGGTCTTTCTGGTAGCCCCTGCTTCAGGTTCTTCCTGTGGCTGTTCTCCTGTCAGTCTGTGCTTCCTTGGAATCAGCTGCTGTTGCTGTAATACCTGCAGTTTGCTGCTGTGGCTGCTCCTGGTTTGGATAAAGCCAGCTTTGTTTTCTGGGTGTTCATCAGTGCCTGTGGGTGGAATGGTAGTGCTGGCAGCTCTCTGCTGACAGGGACAGCAGGGCCAGGCTGCAGGAGTGTCCTCACTGCAGGCCATGGAGCCCAGGGAGCTGCTTCTGGCTCCTTCCTGCAGGTAATCCTCAGAATCACATCACTCGTGTTGCATTTGTGAAGTTCCATGTGTTTATTATTGTGATTTTTAATAACTGGCTGGAGGGAATCTGAATTTTTCAACTTGTTTGGATTTTTTGTACAGTAAGTTTTTCTCCACCACTGCTGTTTTACTGAACTAGTGGTAATCTTTTCTCAGATCCAGTGTTGTTGGTAGTTAAGCTGTTGCCTGAATACTCCCACAGTGTTTTGCTTCCCACAGTCAGGAATAAAGGACATTGCTCCCTACTAAGCCTTTCTTTTGCTGGCTAACGAGTGAGCTCAGCTACATGGGTCACTTAGAAAATATCCTCAGTTCAATGCCATTTGTGGAACAAGAACTTAAAAAAAGAAATTATTATAATTTGGAGTGGAGCTTAGTCCTTAGCAAAAATCCCCTTTAAAAAAAGGCAAAAACCATTGGTCAGTCACATGCATTTTGTTTGGCTCTAATCTGTGGTCTTTGCTGCTCTTCTGGATGTCTGGTCTTAAATAGAACATTATTAAAAAAGGCATTGCTTTTCATCTGTATTTTATGTTTAAAGTCTCTTTCTTTCTGCTTGTAGATTTGTTTGTAAATGCATCATAAACAGACAGCCCAGAATGAAGAAAGCAAGCAGGAGTGTTGGCTCAGTGCCCAAAGTGCCTGGAGTAAATAAAGCTCAAACAAGTGAAAAAGCCAAACCAGAAAACGGCTCCTCAGTGTCTGCAGTCACAAAACTCTCCAAAACTGGGACATCAGCATCTCTTTTGAAGGTAATAACCAGTAGAACATTCTGATTATTTGTATTTTTTTTTAAATAAAGCTTTAGAAAGGGTAGAATTTCCAGGCTTGTCTTTAATGCAGCTTAGACTGGAGGTTTGCATGGGTAGCTGGAGGGAATGTGGGTAGTTGCAGAGGGCTGGGCAGGGTGACAGGATCTGGTGTGTCATTCATGCTGAACTTTCACTCTGCAGCAGGAGATGGAGAGCAGAGTGCTGTGCAGCCCTTGGCTGCTGTGCAGGAGGAGCAGAGGGGAAGTTGTGCTCTGACCAATGTTATTTGTTTGCTGTTATGCTTGGATGGTGTCAGTGACTAATAGGATTTGATAGGAGTTATTTACTCATTCTGAAAAAAGAACTAATGAAGTATCTAACATGAGAACTTCTTTATATATCAGTGATCTGTGTTGGGTCAGTGCAGCTGAGTTCTTCTGGCTGTTTTGGCCTTTGCTTTGTATTCAAGTACTGCTTGAGCTGAACTTTCACAAGTTGATTCTTGCTCCCAGAACAAGTTCAAAGGTAGAGGTTTTCTCTTACAGTAGGAAAACAGGGCAGTGTATGGAGGAGCAAATGGCTTCCAACAAACAGTCAGAGGCACTGAGGAGTTTTCACCTGGGAGCAACCACATCTGGGCTGGCTGGATGGAATGAGCCTGCCGGCTCCTGCTCTGCTCCTTTTCCTGGCATGGAGACGTGGCTGGATGCAGCTCCTGCTGCTCTCTGCACCCAGGGTGCAGGGCTGTGCTGCTGCTGCCCTGGAACAGAGAAACAGAGCAAGGAGCAGGGGCCTGAACCACTGTCACTGACCCACAGGGAGCCACAAAGGCCATTGAAGTACCTGGCAAATAAAGATCCAGAATTAAAGAGGTGTAAGATTTGAGGTTTCTCTGTAAGAGCCCTGCAGGATTACTGAAGTCAGAAGGTGTCTTCCCTTTCTCTTCTTCCTTTTCCTCTATGGAAGAATGGTTAATACTTTTGCTGATGAACTTGCAAGCCAAGTTTCAGGGAGGTTTTCTCCCAGTGCCCCTTCTTTCTTCCATCACCCAGTGCATCTTGCAGTTTTCTTAGCTTTAAATAATCTTTTGATGCTTGTTGACACTACATACTTTATATTTCTAGAAACCTCTCAAAGCAACTAAAGCCCTTTGTAGTTTACTTATCAAGTTTCTTATGTCATTCCTCTGAGGGAGATAAAGGAGGCGGATGATGTAACTCTGAACAGATTTGACCCAGTATGCTTTCACAGTTTTACTTATATTAGTAACACTTCTGGCTATGTTTTGGTGTGGGATTGGAATTCATGACAATTTATGAGTTTGAGGCACAATGAAAATTTTCTTTTGGTTACTGAGGCTTATCTCAGGTTTATGTTCAACCAGGCTTACTCACACACTTGGATGTCTTTTACTTGTTATAGTGCTGTGTGACTTAATGATAGTGATGAATCTTCTTTGAGTGTTCTGTACTTATATAACAAAGTTAGTTGTTTGTGGGGCTTTTTATTTACTGGTACTGACAAATCACATAATTTCTGGCTTGAAAGAAGTATCAATAGAAGTTGCATTTTTAAAAATACTTTTTAAATATGATTTTGTATTTGATATTGTTGATGAAACATTTGGCATATTGTTTTCCTCATAGAGCTGTAGGATATTCTCTTAGAGTTGATGAATTGGTGTGTGTTATTAAATTAAAATTTAATATTCTTTGACAAAAATAAAAGCTGGCATTAAATAACTTTATTGCAATGCTTACTAATTTATTCAGTCCTTTGAGGTGGATATTGAGTGAAAGGCTCCTATTAAAGATTAGAAATACAGTACTACAGCAGTCTTGGTTCAGTCAGTAATAATGTTGCAGAACAGAACATTATTTTTTAATTATAGCATCCCCTTTATGATACAACTACAGGCCAACATTCAGCTTTGGGTGGGCTTCTTTAACTGCATTGTTCCATACATTTGTCCTTTCTTGTGGAGTTTTCAAATGTATGGACAATGAGCACAGGAAGAAACTGTGGGACCCACCCTTGAGCAGAGCTGAGCCTGTCCCAGGGTCTGGTTCCCAATGCCCTTGGTCGGTTCCTTCTCTGCAGTTTTTGTCTCTCACTTTGCCCAGCACTTGGGTAAATGTTCAGCACCCCACAAACTTTATTACTACAGAAATTTAACTCCCAGCCACTTTTAATCTGTAAAAAAAAAATACTCTACAAATAATGTATTCTTATTTTTAAGATCATTATTTTTTGACTTCTTCAACTAATGAGCTTGTGATCCTGCTGACATTCCCAGCTGTAATTAGACAGCAGCTGTACTTCAGACAAATTGCAAAATCCAGTGTCCCTGAAAAGCCAGGACTTGGAGACCAATATTTGAATATTAAAAATTAGAGTGTGTTTTCAGTATTGATGTGTCTAGGCTTCTATTCTGTTTGCAAAATGCAGTCACTTAATTACAGATTGTTGTGAAGTTTGATGTTTGAAAAACTCAAATGCAGCAACAACAACCATCAAAGAAAATCTTAGGGAGGAATAATTATATATATATATAAAGGGATTTGAATGAGATGCAGTAAATAGGATATTCCTGTTGAGAAACTGAGATGAAATGAATTGTATAGGTCATTATTCAAGTTTCGTTGCACTGAAAGAAAGTGGTGAGAGGAAAACAGAATATGAATTGTATAATTATAAAGTGTTTTTTTTATACAGAAAAGCAAAATAGGTCTGGATGAGCATTTCTAATTATGAGAGTTTCTAATTTTTCATATTTGAATGTAAGAATTTTTATGCTAAGCAGGATGGCACAGTTCTTAGTAAATGGGAAAAGTTGTTTAATAAATATGCAGCATTGCTTTTACTTCAATTAAAAAGATATGCTACAAAAATACTTTGATTTTAAAGGTTCTGAATGGTTGCCATTGTGGAACATTAAGAAGAGAGCTGCTGGTTTGTAATTTTTCCAAAGCTTTGCTAAATAGTTTCTTTGCCAAGAGTATAATGTTACAGCTTTGAGAAGCTGTTTACTAATTGGCTGCAGAGGAGGCAGTGCCTTCCAACCTAGACCAGAAATAGTTTATGGGTAAGTCAGAAGAAGAATGGCTGTCTTAAATTCCTTTGTTCAGCAAGGACTGCAGATGAGTAATGTCTGAACCTGTGCATTTCACTTTGAGTTTTTTCTTCAAGCTGAGTCACATCTTGACCTATTTGGCTTGATAACATGTACTTGTACTGTAAGTGTCTGAAAGTTTAATCTAATTTCCCCAGTGTTTCAGCAGGGTAAAGATGCTGACAGCTCATAGTCTGAACCATCATGTTTGCAGGAGGGTGGGCAGATCCAGCAGCAAAGCAGAAAATCAGTTCTGTGCCTTTCTGTGATACCTGGGTTTAGGCAATAGTTGCACTGGGTTGTTTCCCTCCCCCTGTGCCCCCATGCCCACAAAATGAGTTTCAGTTAGGTACAAAATCTAATCAGATCACAGGTAAATCAGGGTTGTTGTACACCAGTAGTTTGTGCTCAGCCCATCCTCACCCATGAGATGGGTGAGCTTTATGGCTTTTGTAGCCCTCTGATATTTTTGCTCTCCTGTTTGTATTTCTGTTGCCTGTGCCTGTTTGCATGGCTGTGTGACATGGCAGACCCAGGAGCTGCTCTGACTCCTGGGAGGAAGGAGCCCTTGGAAGAGCTTTGTTTGCACAGCAAACAGCAATGGCATTTCCACAGCAGAAAAGGCAGCTTTAGATGCACATCAGGCTGGATCCTTGGAGTGATGTGTTTTCTTCCAGCCTTGTATAAACCTTCTCAGAAGGCTGCACCATTTCTGACATGATTCAATAAAAACATCCTTGTCCTAGAGGATTTTACCCTTACAAATAGTTTTTTCTCTCTGTAAATTTTCTATATTTCTATCAATTCATGCAGAGCAAATATGTTCTCCTCCCTAAGCTCCCTTTTGTTTTGTAGCTGCTGTCTGTAAATGGCTCAGATCCCATCCATTTCCACAGTGCTGTGATCAGTGTTCCTGGCTGTTCTGGAATTGGCATTTGCAAAAATAGACTGTAGAGAATAGGTTGACGTGCAACTATTTTTTAAATTAAGCAAGTGTACCTTTATTCTAAATATATAGAATTGTAATGTGTGCAATATGGTTTTTAACATGGATGTGTGTGGGAGCTAGAAGTTACAAACTTGCAGACATGATGGCAAGCAACTGGTTAACTCCTCAGCAGTACCTTTAGCTGGGATGTTGGAGGAGAGTTCAAATGTGTTATCCAGCTGAATAATACAGTTGCTCAAGAATGCTGCTAGCACAGCTGTTTCCTTTTAATTTTTTTTCCTCATATAATGGGAGAAATGTTGAGCACATTTTGATTTTCACCATTTGAAAAATTGTATTTTAAAGAGTATAAAGCCTGCCAATTAATGCTTAAGAGTTTGGTATTTCTAGAGTTTGCTTTATTCTGAAAGATGTATTCTCTGTTTGGGAGTCTGGTTGTTGGGAATCCTGCGCTTGCTGCCTTGTCACATTCCAGGCAGCTTTGTGGCTAACAGTAGTTTCAGGAACAATCATATGAGGTTAGACAAAAAGTCCATCAAACAAATACCCCATCTCTTAAAATTCCCTAGAAAAGAGCTTGAAAGCAAGGCAAGGATATGTGGTGAGAGTGGCTTTTCCCCTGCCTCTGCCATAGTTTCTAGTGGTCTGTAGCTCAGTGTTTCTAGCTAGAAATTGTATTTTGCTAATGTTGGATTGATTTTTGTTCTCCTTTGATTTGAGCTTTTTGTTGTGAATTTGTCCACCAGAAAATATTTGATCATACTCAATTGAAGGATATTGTACTAACTTCCTGGTATTTGGTGGTTTAATTATCTAAGCGTTGCCTTTATTTTTATGCATAAGCAGCGTTCTAGACAAAATTGAGAAGTTTTACACTATGATGTTTTACTCTGCTTTAATTGATTTTTTTTTTTTAAATTTTTCTCCTTGCTACTGGCAGATTAAGAATTTCTTGGGGGGAGAGGGAAGTTTCAATACTCACTCATATGTGAGGGGTTAAAGTTCCATTTCAGTTTACTGACTCTGCACAGTGCAGCACACTTACACTTTTCAGCATTCTTGCATGGACACATGACTTGTCAAATATGTACTTTTTAAACTGAAGGAATCTTTAGCAGTAGAAATGTTGGCTGTGCAGAGTTCTGGGCCAGCTGTTTTAAAGCTGCTTCTTCCCTTTCTTTCAGACTAAGAGTAACGATGACCTCTTAGCAGGGATGGCTGGTGGTGGTGGAGTGACCATGACCAACGGTGTCAAGGCCAAGAAGAACTCTTGTGTATCATCAACAGCACCTTCAGCTCCAGGGACTGCCATGAACACTCTAGAAAACAAACCCAAAACTATTGCAGGTAAATGGATATATTGATTCTTAAAGGTGGAATTTGGGGGGCTTTTTATTTTCATTTAATGTATTGAGGATCCAGGCTGCTTACTGAAATGCTCAGTAATACCATGATCAAATAACACACCTTCTAAACTCTTTTCCTGTTTTTAATAATGTAATTGCTTTTTTGGGGGGTGTTCCTTTTAGTTTTTTTCAGTACTGACTATGCAACTATTATATAAGGTGAAATAATAGAATTAATTTAGAGAATCATAGATTTTTCTGAAATTGTCTGTTTAAAAAATCCGTGACACAAGCACTAAATCTCTAAGATGAATTGTTACAATGAACATTTTGGACATTTTGTATTGCTTTACAGAAATAAAGTAGGAGAACTTTCAGAAACTGTTGAGAAAAATGAAATCATTTAGTGTGTTATTGATATGGATTGAAATAGGTCTTGCCTTTGATTGGTGTGTTTTGGATTCAGTAATGCTTGCAAAGCTGTAAACCATCTGGAAATAAAGAAGTAATGATCTATCTTTATTTTTATGCAATAAGATGAAAATACAGAAAACAGAAAGCGCTGGATGTTGGGTTCATGCTTACTTCCAATATTTTCTATGAAATGTATTTAGCTTGTGTGCTAATAATAAATGTGTGTTTCAGAAAATCAGCCACTGTGCTGCTGATACAAAGCACACAGCCTGCTGTGACAGATCCAGTATTTTAAATTCATCTCCTAACTTTCAACCAACACACAGGTACAAGTTCCACAGCTAAACGTAGCACTTCCTCTGGAAACAAAGAGTCCAGCTCCTCCAGGGAGAGGATCCGGGAGCGTTCCCGGCTGAGCCAGAGCAAGAAGCTGCCCCTGGCAGGGCAGGGCCCCGGCGACGCGGGGCTGGCCAAGCGCTCCCGCAGCCGCGCCAACCCCGACTGCGACGTCCGCATGAGCAAGTCCAAGTCAGACAATCAGATCAGCGACAGAGCTGCGCTGGAAGCAAAGGTGAATGATCTCCTGACGTTAGCAAAAACTAAAGATGTGGAGATCTTGCATCTGAGAAATGAATTGAGGGACATGCGTGCTCAGCTTGGACTCAACGAAGATCATCTTGAGGGGGATGAGAAATCTGAAGAGAAAGAAGCCATTGTTGTCCATCAGCCAACTGATGTAGAGTCTACGCTGCTGCAGTTACAGGAACAAAACACTGCCATCAGAGAAGAGCTCAACCAGCTGAAGAATGAGAATAGAATGTTAAAAGACAGACTGAATGCTTTGGGCTTTTCTTTGGAACAAAGGCTGGACAACTCTGAAAAGCTCTTTGGCTATCAGTCTTTGAGTCCAGAGATTACAGCTGGCAACCACAGCGATGGTGGGGGCACTCTGACATCTTCAGTGGAAGGGTCTGCTCCTGGATCGATGGAAGACTTGTTAAGTCAGGATGAAAACACTCTCATGGACAACCAGCACAGTAATTCCATGGATAATTTAGACAGTGAGTGCAGTGAAGTTTATCAGCCGCTGACATCAAGCGATGATGCCTTAGATGCTCCATCATCCTCAGAATCTGAAGGAGTACCAAGCATAGAAAGGTCTAGGAAGGGAAGCAGTGGCAATGCAAGTGAGGTGTCCGTAGCCTGTCTGACAGAACGGATACATCAGATGGAGGAGAACCAACACAGTACAGCTGAGGAGCTCCAGGCCACGCTTCAAGAGCTTGCAGATCTACAACAAATAACACAAGAGCTGAACAGCGAGAATGAAAGACTTGGAGAGGAGAAGGTAATCCTGATGGAGTCCTTGTGCCAGCAGAGTGACAAGCTGGAGCACTTCAGCCGTCAGATCGAGTATTTCCGCTCCCTCCTGGACGAGCACCACATCTCCTACGTGATTGATGAGGACATGAAGAGCGGGCGCTACATGGAGCTGGAGCAGCGCTACATGGAGCTGGCGGAGAACGCGCGCTTCGAGCGGGAGCAGCTGCTGGGCGTCCAGCAGCACCTGAGCAACACGCTGAAGATGGCAGAGCAAGACAACAAGGAGGCCCAAGAGATGATAGGGGCGTTAAAAGAGAGGAATCACCACATGGAACGGATCATTGAGTCGGAGCAGAAAAGCAAAACGGCTCTGGCATCCACCTTGGAGGAGTACAAAGCCACAGTAGCCAGTGACCAGATTGAGATGAACAGGCTGAAAGCTCAGCTGGAGCACGAAAAGCAGAGAGTGGCCGAGCTGTATTCCATACACAACTCTGGAGATAAATCAGATATACAAGACCTGCTGGAGAGTGTCAGGCTGGATAAGGAGAAAGCAGAGAGCTTGGCCAGTGGTCTGCAGGAGGAGCTGGCACACACCCGCAACGATGCCAATCGACTGCAAGATGCCATTGCTAAGGTAGTGCTTCAAATGCCATTGCATCCTAACATCCCATCGCTTAATTGAATTGCAGTAGTGTTAGGACTGAGTACTTTCTCTTGACTTTTGTTATGAAAATGATGTCAGCATTTGAGAAAATTATATAGATACACTGAGCTACAGGGTGACTCTAGTGTTACTTTTTAAACTCCACAACTTACTTCAATGTCCAAACTTAAACAGTATTTAAGATACTCTACTAATTTAGTGCTTAAATTGCACACCTGCAAGACTTCATGTGCTGACTAGGTTTTGGATCAAAATGTTTATTTCCAGTTCCGTTTCAATCCAAATATTTCCAATTTATGCAGTAGCTATGTCTAGTAAAAGTATTTACCATAATTTAATATAAAAGCAAGAATCACACTATTTATTTAATAACTTTACATATGCATTTAAAGGTATAGCTTCCTAAAGAGACAATTTATACCAAATTTAATGTGTGAACTATATATTAGCTGCAAAACAACATGTTAGTCGTGATCACAAGCCTGTTAGAATCAACCTTAATTTGAGGTGAAAAACATACTACGATGATTTTAATAATTAAAGTTGGAGAATGCTATTAAAATAAAAACCACTGAAGCAGATGAATTAAGAGCAGGGTATTTTGTCTGTTAAACTTGGTGCCTGCCAGCATTGCTCACCTTAAGCCACAACCTATTTTCTCTTTTCTCTTGTTTTTCTAATGCCCTCTTTATATATATATATATATTAAAAGAATTATATTTTAACCCTGTTGGGTTAATGTTCCTGTGCCGCTGATCCCAGCCTGTTACTTATGTTACAGTTTGATGGGGCAGGATGAAAAAACCTCTTCCCCTGCTCCTGAACGAGAGAAGTCAACCACTTCTTCTCTTCCCTGTTTTGGTTTTTTTTCAAATTAATTGTTTTTCAGACTCCTCTGAGAACTGCTTCAGCTCACTAACACATCTCACACACAAATGTCACACTTGCTTAAGGGAATCACTCATCACACAGGTGCAGCAAGCATTAAATTGATGCCCAAGAGACAAAGTTTTTTCTCTCTTGGCAAGAGAAAGGAAGGGTAAAGAGTTTTAACATTTCCTCTCCACCCTGTCCCTTTTCCATGGCAGTTGGATGTTAAATTGGATCAGCTGCTCATGAAACCTCAGCCTTGGTGCAATGATGTTGCTTCACTTGTATGCTCTGAGAGTAGCTGGGAATGCTCATTTATCCAGCCTGGGAATAAAAACAGTTGAACTTTGGCCCACTGGAACAATGTATAGGCAAAGGCTTACATTTCTCTTGTATTTTTCTCTTTGCAGAAATAGATTGTAAGTGTGGTAGTTACAAAACAAAAAGTATGTTTAATATTGCAACTGAGATTTATTCTTCTTTAGGTTGAAGATGAATACAGAGTGTTCCAAGAAGAAGCCAAGAAACAAATTGAGGATCTCAATGTGACTCTAGAAAAGCTTCGGACAGAGCTGGATGAAAAGGAGACTGAGAGGAGTGACATGAAAGAAACCATCTTTGAGCTGGAGGATGAAGTGGAGCAGCACCGTGCTGTGAAGCTGCATGACAATCTCATCATATCTGATTTGGAGAGTAAGTATTATGCATTTCTCTTGAGAGAAAGGATAATTTAAGGGAAGCTCAAGTAGAACACTGGAATATTGAAAATATTTTCACTTGTGTTTTGTATGTCTGAATTCAAGTCACACTGGGTTTTGCAGAATCCTTACACACTAAGAGAAGAAAAAAATCAAGTTGGCTTAGCTTTTCCAGACCCACTTAGTAGTTGGTGTGGGAATGAAACCTATGAATAGAGAACAAATGTGAATTCTGCTAATACTGTTTTCAAGTTGTTCTTCAAAGTAGAAAAACATGTGGTAGAAAACATGTTTACTGTGTACCTGTCTAGCTCTCTGTGCCTTATTCCCTCTCTGATCTTGGAGACCTGCTCAGACATTCCTACCACGGGCTGGAATTCTGCAATTAGTCACCATCTAATTAAGAACACGGGCAACTCTACCCCGGCAAGCTGTATTTGCACAGTGCTGCCTAGAGGATTTAAATATCTGTTAGTCTTCCATGTCATTCAAAGATGAAACAAGATAGCAAAAAAATCAAAGCATGATTCCTTCTAACAACAAGGGAAATATTCATAGAAAGGGTTTTTAATTGCTCTGCTATCAAGAAAAGTTGGTGTCTTAAGCAAACTAAATTGTTTATTCAAGCTCAGTATCTTCAGACATGGCTGTGAGTGTTGTTTCCCTAAGCAACCCTTTTTTATTTTGAAAGGCAGTCTCTGCCTCTCTTTACAAAATAGTTTTAAGTTTTTATTCCGATTTTTTTTCCATTTCTGTGCAAAAAGACAGTCATTTTGAGCAAAAACTCAAGAAGGTTAAACAGTTTTTTACTTGTTTTGTTTTGTCCATTAACTGAAATACACTCATGCAGGGAGCAGCACTGTAGTCAAGTGGATATTTGGGACTCTGCCTAGCAATACCTCATTACAAGGCAGCTCTGATTTTTAGATGCTTCTGCTTTGTGGGTACAAACCAGCTGTTAGATATTTAATTTCGACTGGTGAAAACTCAGGCAGGCAAAGCTCTGCCAGGGGAAAAATTCTCAACAAAAATTGCAAAAGTCTTTGTTATTCATTGGTCTTGGAAAATTCATGTGGAGCAGCCAATGTCCTGACGTGATCCTGAGGATGAAGCAAGCTGTTGTTTTAGTTCTGTGCTGGAAGGAGAGTGGCATCTAGTGGCAGTAAGAGAGGATGGCACACGAGGAATTCTATAAACTTTAAAAGTGCTTTTTTTCTGACAACTTGAAAACTGTTGATTTTAGGTTCATAGTTAAACCTCTCACAGGAGTTTTTTCATGGTAGTCTCTAAGAACTGACAGCATAGAACATGGTGAAAAATCTGAGATTTACAGGTAGTACAAACAGCATTTAAGAGATAGAATTGTAAACACAAAATGGGAAATTATAACTTAAAGATTTTATTAAAGGCAGACTTTACATTTAGGTTGAAGATGCTCATAGATGAGGTGGGGAGTGTTCATTCCATTTAATGATTAATCAACACAAATAGTAATGTAGAAATGGGAAACACTCCAAGCACTTAGTGCATGCTTCACTGTGGGCTTTCAAACACCAAGACACACAAGGAACCTCCAGTGGAACATTTTTCACATTAATCTGGGTATTGAACTGTCACATTGGAGCTGTTAATATGTCTGCCTGCAGAAACAGGGATCTCTGATGTGTGCAGCAGGATGCAAATTGCCTTGATGAAAAGCACACGGGATGTTCCTGCCATGCATCCAGATGTGCTGAGAGCTGCAGTCACTGCAGCTGAGCTCTTACTGCTGGGATGAGGAGTTTTAAGCACAAGGCTAAAAGGGCCTGGAGGGGAAACCCAGTGAGGAGCAGCTGAGGGCACCTGGTTTGTTGAGCCTGGAGGAGACAGGGGAGACCTCACTGTGGCCTTCAATCCCTGCTCTCTGTGACTCTGACAGGATTTGGGGAAATGGCTGTAGCTAAGTCAGGGGAGGTTTGGATTGGGTAGCAGAATAGATAGTTCTTCACCCAGAGGGTGGTTGGGCACTGGAACAGGATCCTCAGGGTGGCCCCAAGGCTGGCAGAGCTCAAGGAGGGTTTGGACAGTGCTCTCAGGCACAGGGTGGGAGTGTTGGGGTGCAGAGCCAGGATTGTGACTCAATAATCCTGATAGATCCCTTCCAACTGAGGATATTCTATGATTCTCTTGTATGTAAAAAGTCTAAGAAATACTAAAATATTCAGTGTTTTATATCCTCCATGCTGTGCTGAGCTGAAACATCAGTGGGGAAGGAAGGAAGGAAGGACAGTGGGGAAGGCTGACACTGCACTAGATGGCGTGTTCCCTCTGGGTTTCACTCCTGACTCCCAAAAACTTGCAGCAGTCAGGTAGCCCAGCTGTCACATGAGTCATCTGCAGTAACTAAGTGGGAAACAGAAACCTGTTATTTTCCCAAGCAGTTAATAAGAGTTTTTGGGGATTTTTTTTCCAGAAAAGTTTGACTCCTGATGTGCAGAAAATGTATATTTGTAGGTTAGCTTACCACTTCTCAAAGGTTTCTTCTGAAGCACAAAAATAATCATTGCTTGTTCTCTTAGCACAGGTGCACATAGGTTCTCCTAGTCTGTTACTAAAAGTCAGTAAATTTTTAGGACAAGTGTAGGTGAGCTAGAAGGTGGATATTTTTAATGTTCAATGAATAGTTCTTTTATGGAGCTGACAGTGTTAGTTTTAATTCTGCTATATTTCATTTGAAAAGGATCTTGACAGCAGTTATGAAATGAAATGTTTGCTTTACCATATTTAGGCCTTTTCTAACAAAGTGCTGGAAAAGTCAATAGGATGTTCAGTTTTTGTACCTTTTTTTAACATTTTTAGTTTTGTGACTAATGGCAGACCCTTAAAAAGTCACCTTTCTTGCTGTATAGATGTATTGTCTGACATGTTGAGCTCAAAAGCAAGATTGGTCTACAAACTGCCTGAGCTTTGGTATTTGTGCCCAGTGCCTGCTCTGTGTATTTGTGGTTGTGTTGGGATAGCCTTTATGTGCTAAAGAACCAAAATGCTCTCCCTGGGCATGCCTGTGTAACCAGTACAAAAACTGTGAGGGTGTCCACTGTGGAACTGACTGTGTCAGAGTTACTTGATTTAGTGTTCCTTCCCAGGAGTTGTCATGTCATTTTTTCTGAAACTACTGCACATGAATATTGTTAATATTTTTTCCCCAGAAACGATTGAAATTATACAATTGAATGTTAATACTCATTTTTATTTCATAGTGATAAATTCTAACTGCCAGTTATAATATAATTCGTAAAAATTGCAGATACAGAACATCATGATACCTTTTCTCTGGTAGCCTTACAAAACTCTTCCTCCCACCCCCAGCTGTTAAGGTTTTCTTTACCTTTTGTATCTGCATGTCCCATAATCTTTTTTTTTTCTGCCTCTTAGGTAGAGGCAAGGTCTTGTCAAACTGTGGCTTAAATCAATATAATTTTCTAAAATGTAGATGTAATTGCATCCTGCAGTCAAACACATGCTTGCTGATTTGCCATTTTTAATTATCCTGTTCATTCATCAGAAGAGTCTCCTTGTTCTTCATTTACCCTAACATGTAGTTACTTTTTCTTTTATCTCAGTCTTCTTTGTTGTCTGTGATCATTGAAGAATGAGACTGGATAAAGGTGGAAGTACCTGTCCTACCATACTGAAAATCCAGGCAGTGGAGCAGGAAAGGGTTTGTGTGTGTTAGAGAAGAGTGTAGAGTTTGCAGGGATGCAGAAAGGAAAGGTGCCACATGGCAGCCTCTACCTGTTTTGACTACTTGAATTTTCAGGCTATTGTTGGTGGAAGAGGTGAAATCATAAAAATTAGTCATAATTTCTCACTGCATTTCAAATTCAGTTGCAGTTTGTGGGGGGTATTTTTAGTCTCCTTGGTTGATTGGGGAGGAGGGAGAGCACTTTTTCCAACAACTGCTCTAAACTGCTCTGTATTATTTATGTACCTGCAGAATATCCAGACCATTGTGTTTTACTTCAAAGCATAAATACACTAAAATTTAATGGTGCGTTTCATAACTCACAGGAGCTCAGAACAATGGCACTACACAAGCTTTAACTGGGTGCATTTGTGGTTTCTGGTTTGTGGTTATTTTTAGACAGCTTGCTTTTAGTAGTACTGCAAATTTTGTTTTTAAAACCATTTTTTCTTTGAACTTTTTTTAAAATGAAAATGAACATCAACTTGATTTGTTCCAAAATGTATTTAAAGGAAAAGGTGGGGGGAGCAAGTTTTATAACTTTGGCCTAAAGCTGGCCTCCTGGTTCTGAATTTAGCTCAAACAAGTTGTGTATCAAGAGACAAGCTAAAAATTGGAGGGCTTTGCTTAAGTATCATGGTAGCATGAGATTTGAGTGGCCCACCCTGTGTAGGCTTATCTTCAAAGCTTAAAGATCAGCTGGGTGCAGCTTAAAATGGGCAGTTTTACAAGGAGGAGATAAATACAGAAATGTCTGTCTATTTTTTATGTTCCAACTTTTCCAAGATTGAAAGGTTATTGTGTTTTCAGACCAGCTGAGGTTTCGTTTTCACGATTCTTGTAAAGAAATTAACTGGGACTTAAAAAGTCCCTGTACTTGGGGCTGTTGAGGAAGGTTTTGTGTATTGAATAGCCTAAATGTCATGTTGTAGAAAGAGCATTGCTAATATACAGGAAAAATACTTGTTGAGATAATGAACCTGAACAAAAAAATGCATTTAGTCAGTTTCTCCATCATTTTAACAGTTTTTACAGTCACACAATGCTACAGAAATAAAGCATCCTAGAATGCAAGGATCAGTGAAGTGACACGCTGATTAGAAATTTATGCTGCTTCATTAGTTGCTTAGTTTTAAGAATGGAGTAATCAATCATATGGTGCTTGTGTATTGAATAAAGTCACAAATGAAGAATAATTGCAGCAGCCAGTCTGTCAGACGCCACACTCTGCTGCTGGCCAGGCTGGCCACCCTGCTGTGTGGCTGCTGACAGATTTAGGGACCCTCTCTCTCATAACACAACCTCACAGACTGTTTGGCCTTTTTGCTGTAAATATAGTTTGCTTTGACCTCAAATAGTAGCTTGATAGACAAGAATGTCAGATTCTTGGGGACACGGGTTCAGTTTTATCCCTGTGGAAGGCAGGGCTGTGAGTGTTGTGTCAGCTGCTCGGTGGCAGGAATTAAACTGTGAATCAAAAGGCTTCCTGTAGCTGCAGTCTGTGTTTGAGGAGGGGAAACCTCCAGACATGCATGTTTTTAGGATCCTTTCATGATAAATTGCCTGCCTTGTTTACTTGCTCTTTGCTATTGCTTTGTCATTTTGGTATTGTGATTTGGGATTTGTATAAGAAGTGAGTTTGCTTATGCTGCTCCCCTTGCCAGTCACAGAGGAGTGTGTACCTATTAACACCCTCTGGCAAATTATTCCCTCTCGTACTGTGTTTCTTCAGATGTCTTTGGTTATAAAAATGTCTGAGTAAGTCTTCAAAAACATTTGCAGGTCTTTTCAGTTATTCATTTTCAAGTAAATAAATCCCTGACTAAGATCTTACAGGGAATTTAACTTTTTTTCCAGATACAGTTAAAAAACTTCAGGATCAAAAGCATGACATGGAAAGAGAGATCAAGAATCTTCACAGGAGACTCCGGGTAGGTAAAAACTGAAAAGTCAATACATTGTCAGCTTAGAATGTCTTCAGACCAGCTTATGAAATTGTGAAAAGATAATATCATTAGATACAATGCCAATAAAATAATTGTTTCTGAAAGACGGCATCACGGGAATATATTTACTAACCTACAAACACTAAATAATGTTAAAAATTTCTCAGTGTCACAAAGATATGATGTTGGGCTTAGGAGAAAATGTTCCTATGTATTTTGATGTGGAGTGTAATATTAAATATTTTTCTCCTCCACTTTGAACATTTTGTCTCCAGAAAAGAAATTCATGACTTGCAAAGTCTAGTTATTTCCAGCAAAACCTCTTCAATCTATCTTATGAGTTAGCTTGTGCCTAACACTGAACAAGTGCCTGTGTTGTTCCTGTAAATAATTTCCTTTAACAGCATAGGAAAACTGTGAATAATAAGGATAGTTTTTATTTTTAACTTCCACATTGGTGCTTGCAGGAGGAGTCGGCAGAATGGCGCCAGTTCCAGGCAGACCTGCAGACTGCAGTGGTCATTGCCAACGACATCAAGTCCGAGGCGCAGGAGGAGATCGGGGACCTGAAGCGCCGATTGCACGAGGCGCAGGAGAAGAACGAGAAACTCACCAAGGAGCTGGAGGAGATCAAGTCACGCAAGTATGCAAATAACAACAGGGATAGGTGCTCTCTTCTGCAGGGAAAGGGCAGTTTGGAACCCAGTTTCTTATTTATTGAGGCTCCAGAAGTTTGTAAAACCTCTCACTGTGGATATCTGTATTTCAGCTGCTTTATGCTGCTTTGTGTTGTCATCGTATCGCAGGGGTTCCACGCTGTTGTCTCCTTATCACAAGAGTGTCACACCTTCCTGGTGTTTCTCGTGGACAGCTCCTCAGAGCACTGACACTTTCTTCTTCACAAAGCACCGACTCCAGTTCCCTTCTCACCCAGCCACCCCACTCTGTTATAGCACTCTTCTTCTCACTACTTAACATCTGTGGCTTGGTAAAGTCAGGCCTGTTCCTAATCTTTGATAATTGACCCAGCTGCAACTCCTTACTTTCTACTCTATCTTTCTTATCTTCTATCCCCCTACAGCTTTCAGCATTTTACAACAGCAATATTTGTTTCTTTATACTGTATACTTAACCCACCCAGGGTTTTACAAAACTAAGTTGGAGTGGGGGATTTTTCCAGTTTAACAGCTTAAAATTATTTGGCTTCCTACAGTGTGAAAAACAAGCAGTGTTGGCTTTCCTGTACCATCATTAATATTTCTTTATTAGCAATCAGGGCTTTTGGTATGGTTAAAAACACAGCTGGGTTTTTACCTGAGAAGAAACCTTAATCTAGTTCTGCATGTTACTTATTCTGTTTTCTTTCCACTGATAATTAGAGGTGCTTTCTATATAAAAACAAAAATAATCCAAATTGTGGCTTGAATTAGGTGCTCCCGATATTTAGAAGCTGAGTTATATGTCTTTCAGAAGTAATAAAGTCCTCAAATAGGAACATCTTGGACAGCACCATTTGAATCCTGACTACATTGTCTCTAGGGGTCAGATCTGTATGTAGCTTACAGTAATGATGCTTGTGATGTGGATATATAAAACTATTGTTTTCTGCATGGATGGGAATGTGGTGAGATTTACATTACATTTAGCCAGCATCTAGGAGGATAGGAGATCCTTTCACAGGCTGTGAAATTTGGAGAAAAGCTAATGCTACCTAAAAATGTACACCAGGAACATATTCTTACCTCCTTAGTATTAAATTGTATTCCATTATTCAGGTAGAAAAAAACCCTCTGAGATGATTATTTTCATGTGGAATGATAAAATCCTTAAGTCTCAATTTTTTTCCATCCATGTGTGTGAGTAGGAGTAGGAATTAAGCTTTATATCAAATATTGATTTGATAGACTTTTTTTACCAGCTGCTGAGCTCTGTTGCTGACAAGTAGTAAGAAATTACAGTGAAAATTTGCATTGATAACCCATTTCTGAATTACAGTGGAAAGAAAGTTAGGCTAATGTAATGACCCATTTGGACCATAGATTTTAATTCAGCTTCAATTTGTGTCGATTTTTTTAAGCCTTTGCATGTTAAAATGTGTTTTGAATGCCCTAAACGAGCAGCACGTTGACTCCAGGCAGGAGGAAGAGCGTGGCCGAGTGTACAATTACATGAACGCAGTGGAGAGAGACCTGGCAGCTCTGAGACAAGGCATGGGCCTGAGCCGCCGCTCCTCCACCTCCTCGGAGCCCACGCCCACTGTGAAAACGCTCATCAAGTCCTTCGACAGCGCCTCCTCCCAAGGTGGGTCCAGAGTGCCCCAGGCTGCCTGTGCTCCTCTGATGGCTCACAGCCAAACTGCTTCCCCCTGTCCTGGCTGAACCAAGCCCACCCCAACTGGGCTGCAGCACAGATTGCTCACTGCACTTCAGTGCAAGCATCCTTTTTTGTCTTGGCTTTATTTTTCTCTTTGCTGTCGCATTGCCAGTGACTCATATGCTGGATGCTTTGATTCAGTGCTCCTGTATATTAGAAATACATAAACACATATGACACACATAATTATAGCTGGGAGCACAGCTGATTTCAGCCTGATTATTAAAATGTGAACTTAATGTTCCAAATTAAGCGTTTTCAAAGCCATGTAATAGCTAGAGCTGAGTTTATTTCTTTTAATAACTTATGTCTTATACTCAGAGCTTTGATGACAGTAAGAAGTGAGATCCAGCCAATATCACCTATTGAAAGAAATAGGAGATATTCTCTAAAATGAGAGGAGTCTCACTCTTGAGGCAATGGACTTTACTATTATTCTATTTGTGGGAGGAAGTGGTGTTGTTCTCCATAAGTGATCAGAATAAGGAATCCAAGTAATTATTCTGAAATGAGAAACACTTGGGTTTCACCTTTAGCTCTATATGAAACCTTGTGTGGATTAAAGTATTTCCCTTGCCAGGTCTTTGGGTTTTGACTTTCATGTCCAACAAAGTCACCATAAATTTAATGTATAAAGGTTTGGTCTGAAGCAGACTAAGTTAGCAGAGCCAGTCCAGTACTGTGCACAGCAAAGCTGCTTTCCACTGCTTAGAACCAGGAAGTTTCAGATACAGAACCATCTCTGTTATTTAATCATTCTGTAAAGGCTTCTGTTTCCATGCTTGCTTGTTTTCTTCACAGGTATTTACAGTTTTTACTTTTCTAGTGTTAATTTAGAAAGTTTTTTTTAATTTATTAGTGGAGGAAGGTGCTTTCTTGCCAGAGTTAGTTTAGGTAAATGACAAATCCCCTCTCCCTTCTTTGGAATTTTTTATTTCAAGCTAATATCTGCCTTCTTCCTCAGCATTCCTGTCTGATCATGTTGTTAAATCATCAGATCACTGATTCACCAATTTAGAATTTTTTTGTTTTCATACATTTCTAAAAATGTTACTTGTTTAATCCCAAAATTTAAAGTATATCATAATCTAGTGCTCGTGGACTTTGATTAGAAGCTAGAAAGGAGAAGCAGGTGATAGAGTTTATCTTTCTTATATTACCAGCAGAGCCAGGAACTGCTGCTATCTCTTTAATTGTCTGAAGATCAGAGAGCTAGTAATGCCATGATTTACATCTGCCAAGGTAATAGTATCCTGCACCTTAGCCTTGTCCACCCCCAGCCAGCTCAGCCTTTTACCAAGGATGATAGAAAGACAGCAAATGAAGGTAATTGCAGGGGAGTAAATGTGTAGGCATACTTTCAAATGACTTTTCAGTCAATTGCTAATTGAAATTCTGAGAGTGTGATCTGGTAGAACTGGTAATGTAAAGTACAAGGTGAGGGTTGGCTTTAGCAGTCTCCTGTTGCACTGCAGAACAGTGTTGTGCTCACCATGGCTTCTTTTCCGTGTTCCTCCTAGTTCCAAGCCCTGCTGCTGCCACAATTCCTCGCACTCCCCTGAGCCCAAGCCCCATGAAAACTCCCCCAGCTGCTGCTGTATCCCCCATGCAGGTGGGTGTTTTATGACTGCACTTAATCCTTCTCTGTGAAGAAGATTGTGTGAAACTACAGGTGGTGACATACAAATATTGGCTGACTTGCTGGGGAAATAAAGATAAAATGTTGCCTTAAGTAAGTAATTACTGAACTGTTCAGTCTAACAAGTGTTTCACTGAGAGCCACGTTGGAAACTTGGAAGTTCTTGTTAAATATTTGCAACCATTGCTATTCCTGTGCTGTTAAAAAGCGTGAGAGGAAGACTTTATTTGCATTCCTTAGTTTTTAGAGTTCAGTTTGTCAATTCTTAGTCCTATGCCTGGCAGGGAAACAGCAGTAATCCCTTTGGCAGTGGACTAAGGACTGTGCAGAATCTGTCAGCAATCATCAGTGTAAATGTATCTTTCAATGCAGGCCTTACAGGTAGGATGGAAATAATTGCAGATTTCTGCTCTTTGTTCATTTTGCACTGGCAGAGTTTGGCCAGTGGGTGATGGTGCTGTGTGTTTTGTGCTGTCCCCTCTGAAGCTTTGTGCTTTTGCTCAGCTCTGCAGCAGCCTGGGTGCACTGAGATGGCATTCTCAGGACTGATGTTCAGCTTTGTAGAGCTTTGCTGACTTTATTATCTCACTTGCTGTGTGAAGTGAGATTTTGGCAGAATCCAACAAGTTTAAGGACAAAGCAGATGGGACCAGGTTCATAAAGAAAAGTCAAAGAATGCATGTTGTTTTACTCCTTTAATATCCATAATTCTCCTGTTGCCATCAAGATATTGCTATCACAAAGTTCCAGAACTTGATTTTCACTGTAGGTCAGTGTAATGATTTGGTAATACATTCTCTCTGCCTGAGCTGAGGACTCTGGAGCCATATCAGCTTTTAGTCCTCAAGGAACAATACCTGGAACAGACTGACTGTTCTCCTGTTCTCAGACTAGTGCAGCTTTTATTCATTTAAGAGTGAATTTCATGAAACAAATAGATAGCCTTAAAGCAAAGAGAAAGAATTAAATGGTTTCTTGGGAGAGCTTCTGCTGCTTCTTGTGGTTCAGTCGCTCTTGACAGCAGTTCTCTAAATTAGTTAAATGTGATGAATTTGCTGACAGATGCTTTGTTCCTATTGATCTGGCTTTATATTTCTGTTTATTTCTGCACTCTTGGAGGAGGAAGAAGACTTAATCTCATGTTCCAAAGGGCTGAACCAGACCTTTGGCAGACAGAGGACTTTTTGGTGAAGCCTAAGGCTTATCTCACTTTGTTTACCTGTAAATTAACCATGAACCAAAGTAATCTCTTAGAATACTGCAAAGCTGCTCAGGTTTACAGCTCTTGTTTGATGTTCTTGATCTGCCAGAATTACTTGAATTTTGAATTCAACTTTTGGTATAGACCCAAGTCATTAACAGCTGGATGCTCATTAGTGGGAAACATTGCCTGAAAAACAAAGGGAAGGGTGTGTAAATAAAAACAGCTTCTATTGTCTTTATAAAGATAGGTGGTTTTCTTCAAAGTGCTTGTAATTATCCAGAAGGCAGTTGGGTTTCATGACCTCAGTTATGTGAATATTTTCTGCTCAAGAGAGAAGGGTATTGAGCTTTCTTTATTTTCATATTGCCTGCCTCATTTTCTACTGTTGCATTCTATGTAATTTTTTTAAAACATTTTTTGTTTGTTCTCTTACAATTGAAAAACAAGATTTTAATAAGTAATCACTATATGAGCTGAACTATTGGCTCCCACATTATAGAAGTCATCTATGGTTTAAGGTCTTTGAAGAAAGGTGGATCTCTGTATGGGCGTTGCAGTGTTTATTATCATTAATTTCAGTTCCTCTTAAATGCTGTCCCAGTGGAAATATTTACATGGGCACCTACTGAGAAACTGGCACAGTGTTGATACTTCCACAAGATGGATTGGTTGTAAAAAACATTGTCCAAGTACAGAGGCATCAACCATGTGCTTTGTCTTTGGACTGTGAAATGAATTTCCTCAGTCTTGAAGAGTTTTTGTTTGCTTGGTTTGTTTTTCTTTACAGCTGTGTGTATGTATAATGAGATAGATTCTTGAATATATTTTGCAACTCAAAACAAACAAACAAAACCCTTTGTGGCTTCAGGTCCAAGCCTGCAGTGGAACATAACTGTGTTTTACTATGGCTCTTAGCAGCACTGCAAAGCAATTTAGGAAGAGAGGTATGAAGAGAATGCTCTTCAGAATGTGAAAACAGCCCTGCTGGGTTAGCCCAGAGCTTAGCTGGTCTGGAATGCCACTGGGAGTGACCAAAGCACATGCCTAGGGAGGAATATAAGGACAAGGGAGCGTGGCTGCTGCTTCCCCTGGGTACTTCCATTTTCTGTTTTGTAGCTGGAGGACTCTCTGAAGCAGATGTGGTTCAGATTTACAGGTTACCATTGAATGCCCTGAAACAGACATGGTTTCAGATTTACAGGTTACCATTGAATGCCCTGAAACAGACATGGTTTCAGATTTACAGGTTACCATTGAATGCCCTGTTTTGCTTTGAGCATATCAACTTCCAAGGTCCAAGCAGTTTAGTGTCCAAGCCTTCCTATATCTGAACTGGTCAATATGTGAAGAACTGTTTGTTCTGCAGTTGCCTTCTGCAGGTGCACTGGCACGAAGTGCAAAGTGATCAGGAGGAGGTACCTGGATAGTGGTGATGGTTGTGTTTCCTTCCATAGCTGACAACAGACACAAGGATGAGAAGTCAGAAGCCAAATATTTGGGGTTTAAGTGATTAGTTCATCCTGCCATAGTTCTGTTTCAAATTTAAAGCCTCTCCCAGACACTTGTGCACTGCCACATGGATGAAGACAGGTGAAAATAGATAAGCATCAGTTGGTCCATGTTCCTCTGGTTTGCAGTGCATCAGTCCCTGTGTTAGTGCTGGTAGCTGTGAGATTTGGAATTAGGAGCTAAACAGGGCAAGGGAGCCCTGTCTGCAGTGCCAACAGGAACAGAGACAACCACTTTGTTTTATTGCAAAGAGACAAGAGCAATGTACAGCAAGTTGTCAGCTGAGTGATACAGCCACTTTGACAATTTCCATAAAAGATGTTTGGTTTTAAGGGATAAATGTGTATGGTTATCCATACCTGTGTTTCTTGGCTGAAGCTCTGTACTCCCCTGTCTCTGTAGTGCCAGTCCCAAAGCTAACCAAAATTCAATATTTTTATTTTAGCCTCATATTTCAGCTGTTTCCTGGGGTGGGGAATGCATTGAAATGGCTCACTTTGGTACAGTTCATAGCCTTTAGTAAGGAAATGTTTGGGGTTTTTTAAGTAGGTGATTTAAGTGTGAAAGGGCAGCTCTGAGGGGAAGCTGTTGTGGGCATTTCTGTGCATGGCTCACGGTCACACACCTGCACATTTAAAGGTACAATCTTTGTGTGTGTGTGTGCAGGACATTGGGTATATGAAGTGATGAAATTCTGCATGCTGTCCTTTGGCAGTTGTGCTCTCCATTTGGTTTCTAGCACAAAAGCAAAACTCCAGTGTGACTCCAAGTGATGAATAAGTAGCCCTGTAATCCTGCCTGTGCTATGGGGTGCTGTAAAGTATATACTGTTAACTCATTTTAATCACAATTCTGCATTTGTCTCTCTTGCCTGCATAATTTGGTGTGAGAAACATCTGACCTTTAGTATTTTGTGAAGATAAGACTCATTTAACCTTGGGCCAGATGGAGACCTGAAAGAGTTTTCAGGATAAACACATTAGTGGACTGATTATGATTAAATATTGGAATCTAATAGAAAGGACAGGGTGAATAAAGAATGAACTGTAATTTGCAATAGGCTCTTTGAAATGATTAATTTGAAAGAATTGTGGGCGATCCTCCATGAGTCTTCAGCAACTGAATCTGTTTCAGTAACTCTGAGGGTAATTATTGCTTTGTACAATTCGCTGTGTGAGACTAAAATGCTTATTTTAGTCCTTTTCAGTGCTTGCTGAATTGTGTGTACAAGCCTGAACACAGCTGTGATCTTGTGCTTGCTAAAAGCCATATATTGCTAAATATTTATATAAAATGTGAAAACTAAATGCTCAATTCATAGCTCTTTAGAGGAGAACAAAAATTGAAGTGACTTGAGAAGGCAAAAAAAAATTTTGTGTTTCATTACATCTTTAACAAATAATAAAATGGATTTCTCCATTTGTTCCCAGAGCATCTCAGTTAAATATGTGGGAACAAAAGCTCTTGACATTGTGAATAAACCCCATTTTTTCAGTGGTGTTTTTCTTATCAAAGAGTGCTTTGGGTCACTGTACCCACTGCACCATTCTCCTAGATTTCCAGGAAGAGGCACAAAGCTGTGAAAGCTTTTATTAATAACACAGATCATGCACTGAAACCTTGGCTTTGTATAGGGGGTTCTGTGGGTTTAAATAAACACATCAAGTTTAACCAGAACAGGTTTGTTCAAACAAAATAGAAATGAAGGTGAGAATTAATAACCAATTGCAGTAGCATTCACAGCCTTAATTTTTAACATTGGTCTGAGGAACAGGACTCAGCTTAAAGTAAATGTTACAGGTTCAAGGCATAGTCAGATTGGAAAAAGTAAAGGTTTTTTAAGTAAAGAAGGCAAAAATTTCAAAGGTTCCTTTATTATTGTAGTTCTTTAAAATTAGTAATAATGTCATATCTGAATTACTAAAGCTAATTCGGCAATTCCATATTTGTTTTTTTTTTTACCTTCTAGTTATGTCTGACAGAAGTATTTTTCCATTTCAGAGGCATTCCATAAGTGGGCCAATCTCAGCTTCAAAACCCCTTGCTACACTGACAGACAAAAGACCAAGCTATGCAGAAATTCCTGTTCAAGGTACTGATTCAAGTTCATTTAAACTTTGGTTTTAGCATTGCTATTGATAGGTTTTTTTAAAAAATTATTTAGTATCCAAAGCATTAGCATGTTACATATTTTTATTATCAAAACATCTTAATAGAATCATAGTCTCTCTCATGTTTAAGTTCTTTGTACTTGTGCTTCATCACATGTGGTGAGTAACAAAGATGCTTTTTTGAATTTCCAACAGAACCACAATTGCATGCTGATAACTTGGTACTATTCTGACAAGTTTTACTGTGTGCATAAACTAAGATCACTTGTAAAATCAAGATAAGATAATTTCAGGGACATATCTTGCAGCTGTCCCAGATATTAAAAAACCCAGCCTCTGGAGTTACAGGTTTTTAACCCCCGAAAATGCAACAAAGATGATGATTGGCATTGTATTGCATGTGAATAATAAAATAAACTAATTAAGTATTGAACCTTCAGCAGCCAGATGAAATATTGAATGGAATTGAGTGTTGATTTATCTATTTCCCAATATTCCCCTGTTCTGTGAACTTTGTTTTGTCTCTCAAAACACTGTTCACAATGTGCTCTTCCTGTGAGAATGAATGGCTATCATGTGTTGGGTGTAGTTCTCTGATTTATGCCTGCTTTAGGGGCTTTTTGTGTGTAGATGTTTCTCAAGATAATCCCCATATGACTCCAGGCTGAATATTTCCTCTCAATTTGGTATTCCTGAGGTCTGATGTTTTCTAAAGGGTTGGGTTTTTTTGTTTTTTTTTTTTTTTCTGTAGCACTTCATAATAGTCTGTATGTGCCAGATTTCCTTCTTGCTTTTGTTGAATCCATATTGAGGCTGTTTGTACAATGCAGCTGCAGTTTTAATTTTAGAAACTTTGATATTTTTAGGAATATTGAAATGCCTTTCCAAGAAGATAATACAGGATTCTTTAATTGTTACAGAGTTCAGGGTAAGACAGAAGGGTTAGACATAAGCTTAAACACAAAATGAATGGTATGTTTTACATGGCTTTTTGTGGTTTTTTTCAAATCAGTGAATGCAGGAGCAGGACTGTGTTCCAGGAGTGAGGGTGCCAGACAGAATTCTTGTTTACAGCCATACAGATACATTTTTAATGTATCTCTCCAACAATGTATAAAAATGTCACATTTTCAATTAATAAATGGGGTTTCACTTTTCTTAATCCTTGTTTCCATGAGGTTTTATATTCTAATTACTGTCATCTAAGTGTTTCTACGTAGGAGTATGTAAACCTTTTGTTTGCAGCTTTTACTTGAAGGAATATTTCAAATAGCTTTGATTTGTTGCTATAGAAAATTAATTTTGTTTTAGTTCTTTTTTTTACTCATTGGTGTTAGTCAGAACTGATTTTGCAGTGCAATATGTACAGGCACATTTTAGACCCTACTGCATGGAGGAAGAAAGGAAAAAATGTGTAGTTTTATTTAATAATAAAATGAAAAAAAACCCAAAAGCCCAAAAACTGTCAATCCAATAAACCAGAGAGGAGGAAAAAATAAAACACCTGAGGGATAAAGCAAAATCTGCTTTACCATTGAACATTATGAAGGACATATTGAATATTTTTGGCCATGTGCTGAATGGGGGTTCCTTTCCCAGCCTTTTGGTGTAAGGATTGTTTATGACCAGGGCAAGTGGATTAGCAAGAGGCTTTATGGCAGAAGGATTCAGGGGCTCATGGTGCATTCCTGGTGCACTTCATTGGCAATGGGCAATTTCAGGGCTTTTCTGTCTTCCAGAGAGAATCACCTGCCCTCCCTAAAACAGCAAAGTCAGGCACTGGTGGGCAATATTGGTGACTCAGACCTGAATGTTACATTTGGAACCTGTAGTAAGGATGACTCCCTCCTTTTCCTTTCTCCTTGTGCAGAGCATTTGCTGAGAACATCCTTCACCATTTGCTGAGAACATCCTCCTTTTTGCTTTAGGGCAGAAGGATTCAGGTGCTCATGGTGCATTCCTGGTGCACCTCATTGGCAATGGGCAACTTTAGGGCTCTTCTGCCTCCCACCTGCCCTCCCTAAAACAGCCAAACTCAGGCACTGGTGGGCAATATTGGTGACTCAGACCTGAATGTTACATTTGGAACCTGTAGTAAGGATGACTCTTTCTCTCTGTGCAGAGCATTTGCTGAGAACATCCTCCACCAGCCGGCCGGCGTCTCTGCCCAGGGTCCCTGCCATGGAAAGTGCCAAATCCATTTCAGGTAACACCACAGCTTTTAGGTGTTCAGGGAAATGGGGAGCTCTCATTTCAGTCATGTACTTACAGGTCTGCTTTGTGACTGGCAAAACCCACAAATATTCTTCAGCACTGCTGGACATTTGATGTTAAGTTTGGATTTTTAAAAAGCCAGACTTGCTAAATACAAGTTTATGCAGAGTGTTAGTTTACTATCAAGCTGTAATACCGATGTCTCGGTATCAGCAAAATGTTACTTCTAAAACCAAATATTTATGAATTATAGCACAAATAATGTAATACTGTGAAAAAGATGCTCTGTAAAATCCCAGCAGAATTGATTTTAAATCAATATTTTTTAAAATCCCTATATTTGAGTAAATGCTTACAAGTTTTAGATAGTTTTTGTTTGTATAAGAATCCAAACTTCTTGTGTCTGGTATTTATAAATTAATATACTTGTCCCCAGGTCATTAGAAAATAAGTCCCTGGTTTATGTAGAGAGTTGAATCTTTGATTTGCACAAACATGAACAATGGTGATTATTTAAGTATAAAGACAAACATCGTACTTTTAACTGGAAACTCTTCCATGTATAGAACATGTAACAATTCCAAATTTGGTTTTACAGAGTACAATGCTTGTGCTTTCATTTGAAACAAAAACTATTTCCTTTGATAAAATGAAGCAAGCTCTGTGGAATGTGGCTGACTGATCTCAGGTCAACATTTGATATTCTTGTTGATGATATTTAATTAATGTCCAGAGCACCACATACATGCCAATTCTTCATTAAAATTAAATGGAAATAAAACAGCTGTCATCTCTAAACTGATTTGGTTTTCTTTTTCCTTAACTACTTGAAGCTTCACAGTGTAATTATATGGACTAGAGGAAAATAAATGTTTTGATGTTAAAATTCCTTCTTATTCATTAAATCCTTCAAATGGGAGTAGTCATATTCCATTAAGATACATCCATCAAACTTTCTTTGCTTCAAAATACAGGCTTGATCATAAATGTTTCTAGTGCAGTCTAAATCCTTCATATTCCCAAAGTGGAAAGCATCAAGAAGAATATTGACACCTACTATTAGACATAGGTTTCTGTGCTTGGTTTCTGAACAAGTGCTTGTTTGAGAGCAAGTTGGGAAGTTCTTGTGTTTGCAAATGAGAAATGCCTGGGCAATTCCCCCCTCAGTGTCTCGAAGAAGCAGTGAGGAAATCAAGAGGGACATCAGTGCACCTGATGGAGCATCCCCAGCATCTCTCATGGCAATGGGCACCACCTCCCCACAGCTGTCCCTCTCATCTTCTCCTACAGCATCTGTCACCCCTACAACCAGAAGCAGAATAAGGTAATTAATTAATTAACCCCTTTATTGGGTGTAATTTCACAGCTGTCTGCCTGCATACCTCTAGTATATGAAATTGGTACTGAGACTGCAGACCCCACACAATAATGATCTTCAGAAAGGTTTTTCTACAGTTCAGTATTTGTTTTAAAAGTGAGACTAAAAGTTTTAGTCCTTTTTAAGGCTTATAAGTTAATAGCAGACTTTATGCTCTACTAGAAAAGCAAGCTAAGTCATGTCACTAAATAATAATAGCAGTTCAAAATAGCACAGAGCCAAATTCAGGAAGGGAGCTTGCAGCACATGGAGCAGATCATGCAGACTGGCTTGGACACAGGGACACCATGATAAACCTTAACTTCTGTAATCCCAGTTGAAGACAAAAAGCAGCATGCCCAGATCTTAATCCCAGACACTGACAGGTCTTTTTCATAACCATGAGTGAATGGGCCTGGGTTTTTTGGTCCCACAGATGGAGTCATAGTGCAAGTCTGAGCAACAAATGGCCAGACAACCTCCTTTGATTAGTAAGACAAAAGATAAGTCTGTGGTAAATTTAAAACTTTTTCTCTCTGGTGTGTTATCAGTCAGAGGACTTCAAAGTATTTAATCCTCACGTTATCCAAGTGAAGTATGTCCTCAGCTCTGCTTCATAGATTGGGAAATTTGCAGACAAAGGTTAAATAACTCTGTCAAGACCATTTCTCACAGAGCTTTCTGACAAAGCTTTTGTACAGCAGAAGTATTAAACTCCTAATGTTCAGAGACACTTGCAATATATATAAAAGTCTAAGATATTTACAGCTGTGGGTGCTTTTGAAAGTGATTTTTCTGAAATCAGCTGAGACAGCCCTCAGTGCCACCCTCCTTTTATTGTGTACAAATTAAACTGAATTTAATTGTGGGAACTTTACTACCAGCAATTAATGTGTATGTTAACACCTAAATTTAAACTGAATACATCCAGAAATAAGTTTTAAACACCTGTGTATGAACTTGGAACTGGTAACATTGAGTTGTGTTGGTGTCAGTCTGCAGACTGGAGCAAACAGTGTGGCATTCCAGGGTGAAACTGGACAGTTATAATTATGAAATCATTACTGTGCTCCATTGCCTGCAGTGCTCAGTGCTACAAGAGACTTAATGGGCTGTGAGCAGTGGGTGTGTGGTGATGAGTGTGGCCTTTGGAGACACTGGTTTGTTACATGAGCAGATTTTTCTGTTTTCCCCTACTTTTTTCTGGAAGTTATTGGAAGATAAACAGTTATTGGTGTAATTCACTAGAACAAATACCTGCAGTTCCCTCTTCTAGGTGAAACTTCATTGGCTCTTTGATTTGGAATGCAGTTGCCCTAATATGTGAACATGTAAGATTTGTATGTCAAACCATTTCTCATTGTCTCCATACAGCTTAAAGCTAATTTATTTTCTTCAGCAGTGTTTTCATAGCTGTGAGAACCTGATATAAACCATGTGCTCTTGCTGGAATTTGAGAACAGGCTGTACAGCTCCCTCATGGCTAAACAGTATGTTTAGCATAAAGAGAGAGGGATATTTTTATTTGAGTTCTATTGTTGCCCCAGATCTCTGTTCTTCAGTTCTCAAAGTGTTGCATAACCCTCATTATAGATTAAATATGCAATCCCATTGTTACTTGTTTCAATCACCAAAGGAGAAAATCACCAGTGTAAGTTGTTGATATTTGTACTGATTTAAGAACTGAAGTACAGAATTTCTTGAAGCATCATACTGGCTGTGTGGTGCCTATGAAGTTTAAGTACAGTGACTTATTCAGATAATTTATTTCACATTTTAAATATGCAATTATTGACTTCCTTGTTGTGTTAAATCAAGATGAGCAGTTAGGTTTGAAGGCTCAGCATCAAAGATAGCAGTTACTGTTTTGTATTTACTGTCCTGCTGGGCTTAAATTTTCATGGATATTTCAGCTGTTATCTGTAAGTAACACTGAGATCCTGCCCATCCATATGTCAGTGAAGGCTGGCCAAGAAAACTGCAATACATGTACTTGAGATTAGTGCCTTAAAACATTTCCTTGTCTGTTGGGCCATGTTCTCTTTTGTGCGTTGACCAAGAGATGCTGGTGCATGGAACAGTCTCTGGTGTTCTGTTTATAACAGGCACACAGGAAGATATTCACATTCCATGGATGCTTTCTGTCCCTTAGCAGGAGCTGGAGAGTTGCTACCTGAAATCTTCAGAGAATCCACTGGTGCTATTATTTACTTCCACATTCCACCCCTCTCTCCAGTCACCATATGGGCTGTAAAGAACAAAGAGTTGAAGATTTGAGAGTGAATGTATACAACCCCAATGTCTTTTGGGAAATATTCAGAAAGAGTAGCTTAGGCTATAATTTCTGTCTATTTTGTGAAAACTTTGCTTATTCAAATCTGAGCACCTATTGGTTTGACCACAGCATCCCAAAAAACTTACTTCCTTTTCAAACCAGGACACTCTGATGAAACTTTAAAAATGGCAGATGGGGAAGTCTTTGCAGTTCACTGATAGCTATCTTATTTTAATTTTCCAAATGGAGATTATTAAAAACAAGAACAATTGCTGTCACACTTCCTCTGTGGTAACTAATATCCATAATGGTGTAGTACTTGCTCTTTTTGTTAAAGACTGTTCATTATAATATCTATAGAAATACTGAGTCATGTAACCAGACCACTAAAGTATTAGCCTTTATAATATATACATTTTTTAATCTAAGAATTCTTTTCTGAATCCTGGTAAAGAGATGCTTGTAATGTAAGGCTCATGAAAAAATGGCCAACTTAGTTAGGTTGTTCTTTTCTTCCTCAAACTTTTCTTAAGGAAAAAATTACTTAAGATAGCTTGACAAACTGGAATTGAAATTAATTGACTGCTTTTATTGTGCTAATACATCAAATGGCAGATCAGCCTACATAGATCTCCCCCTTCTTTTTTGAGAACTCCAGGTCTCAGGCAAGTGTTCTGTTAATAACACCGTGCTGCTCAAATGCAAACTTGTTGTTTCAAGGTGACATTTGTAATCAGCCATGAGATGCAAAAGAGATAGCATCAGTTTATATTCTTTCTGAATAAGAAATAAAGTCACTTGAGTTAGCTTAATGGTTCAGGCTGCAACTTAATATGTTGTGAGTTTAATTTTGCAAACTCTTAGAAAGAAATATCATTGAGGTGGAAAGATCTAGTAAAAAAAGCTTAAAGGAAAAAGAAGGATGATTTGGTAATGAAAGAATTACTCCAAACTAACTCAAAAGTCTTTTGCAGGTATTCCTGTGTGTTCTGTTTTTCAGTCATAAGTGCTGTATCCTGCTTCTTCCAGTGTGCCAAGAATTTGTCCTTCTATTTGAGCCTTTATAAATACCTATTTCTGTTGTGTTACAAGCTCTTCTGGCCTTGTTCCTAGGGAAGAGAGGAAAGATCCCTTGTCTGCCCTGGCAAGAGAATATGGAGGCTCCAAGAGGAATGCCCTGCTGAAGTGGTGCCAGAAGAAAACAGAGGGCTACCAGGTACCTGCAGAGCTGGGTGTGCAGTGGCTGCAGGCAGTGGAGCCTGCCCATGGCACAAACCAGGCTGCTCCACACCTGACTGCATGGGCTGAGTGCCCTGGCATGTCCTGTACCCTCCCCTGGGAACGGGGGCTCCCAGGGCTGCTCCGGCAGCAGCAGCTCCTCAGTCACTGCTCCACAGCTTGGTCTGAAGGGGCGGCCTCCCTCCCTCTGAGGCACTTGAAATCAGCCCTTCACTTATGAAACTGGAGCTGAAACTTTATCAACTGAATGTTTAAATGAAAGTTTCCCAAATGCAGCTAGAGTACCATTTCTCAGATTTCAGAGATTTATTTTTTATAGGTAATTATCACGGGGTTTTCTTTGGATCTTTGACTCCCATTTGGCCTCTCAGGGAGTTTGTTTTGTGAAGGTGGCATTGTCTTGAATTTTGAACTTGGCTTTCCACTGTAGTTGCAGATTTCTTTTTTTTTTTTTTTTTTTCACTTGGTCCAAATGTTATCAGAAGCCAGAAGAACCAACAAGATAACTGTCCAGAGTTCTCCTGATTACATTATTTTTTCAAAAGAATAGTGGCTTCAGCAAACTAAACCAGGATGTTAATAGTCTGACCATGATGTATTTGTTTGGTTAACTTGTATTGAAAGTGTTTGGAGTTCCCAACACAATCCTCAGTTTAAGAACTTTACTCTTTCCATGACTTGAGGCTCACAATGCAGGAGGAAGTTGAGAGCCACATAACAGGATGGTGGCCCATCCATAGGAAAAGTGCTCCTCCAGCACAATGGGCAGGCTGGGATATAACCCTCCCCCTCTTCCTGTGCACGTCTGATACTCAGCTGTGCTATTTCTGAGGAGAAGCAGCTTTGTGGAAAGAGCCTTTCTCCTTCCCCACGTTTTAAAAAAGGCAGGATGTTACATTGCTTTATAAATCCTCAAACTAAGTGCAAAAATATTTTCCCATATTGTCTTGAAATGAAAGATGAATTTGACAGCTTCGTTAATCTGGTTAGGAAAAGTGATAGAAATTATTCCAAACTTTTCACTCTCTAGTTGTGTGCACATTGAAGAATACACTTCTGATTCTACAGATTGCTGCTTCTAATTCTTGGAGTTTTACAAACACTGCTCAAAGGATAGCTTTTGAGACTTTCTGTACTTGCTTCAGAACCTGCAGCATGGTGCTGAGAAAGCACAGAGCATCTGCAGAGCCACTGCAATGCCTTCGTTGAAATTGTGAGATAGTATCAGGAGGTTATATTAAGTAGTTCTGGGAGAAGAATGGCTTTTGCTTTAGGCACACTCATTTTTCATTTCTTTGTTGTACAGAATTTGATTATTTTCAGCATCCCCTGAAATTCAGTTCTGCTTGAACACTGTGTTGGTGGTATTCTAATGTTTTAAACATAGCCAGCAGTGTATTCATTGTGAACAGTGCTTATCCAGATTTCTGGCATCTCAATGTTATCAATAACAGATAAGGATCTTTTTTTTATTTTCAATGAATCTCTGCTTCATTTAATTTTATTTTAAAACTATGTGTGTTCAAAACTGCCAAACAGGAGACAAGCATCAGGGTAATGAATGTCTCCCTTCCTCATTCAGTCCTGCTGAAGGTGCTCAGCTCTCCTTCCTTCCCTGTCCTGCAAGCATGGACATCCTCTTTACCTCCAGCTCTTCCTGCTGTCTCTCACTCTGCCACAGCTCCCTTTTCTCCCCAGCATTTCCTATCATCAGAACTTCTACTTTTCCTCTGTCCCACTGTTGTTTTATTGCTTTAGCACCTGGGTGAGAGCCAGCACGAGCTTTCTGAGCTGCAGGGACATGCTCCTCTGTCTCTGAGCTGCTGCAGGAGCCCCACAGAACACAAGTCCCAAATATCCCAACCTTCTCCTCTAGGAAGAGCAGTGGGTCCCTTCTATCCAGTCACCAGTTTCTATCCAATATTAGCTGTAAATGTGGCAGGCAAAAGGAAAGATACTTGTAGATGGAGTCTGTAACCAGTTCTAAAATCTGGAAGATTGTAACCATCATTGGAAACAAGCAAAAGAAAAGAAAGGATTAGAAAGCTTTTGTTTCAGAATAATTCTTTTCTTACTTTTGTCCTATTCATATTAAACTACCAATACTTAGGTAAAGCCCTGTTAGCCAGTATTTTTCAAGATGTGTTTAAATCACAACTGATTCATCCACTGCCAACAATAATCACTTTTTTGGTCTTGTTTTCTCCCTCTCACCTGGAGGTGATGTCTCACAGCTGTAGGTCTTTATGCATTAATGTATGTAAGGTATTTATAGAAAATTATTTCAGCTGTTGGTGTTTCACAGGGAAGATGGAGCCATGCACCTTGAGTTAAAGCTCCTTTTCTAACAGAGACATGTTTGCTCCTGGCATTGTTTTGCGTTTTATCTCTGGTGTTATATTTCACACTGGATAGTAGAAAGTAGATAATGAATACTAAAAAATAGTAATCACACAAGTAAGCAGATACTTCTTAATTTCTAGAATTTTTTTGAAGGTGTACAGAATTCTAGGTGAGCTGTCAGTGGTTTAGCCTGTTAAACACCAGGTGTGGTGGAGCTGCTGATATTTTCCTTATCAGCAGGGGAAAATACTGCTGATATTTATTTTATTTAATAAAATAAATTTCTCTTCTTTAAAGAGAGAAAAACAAGAAAAACACAGCAAAGTCTGTCCTGTTTCAAAGGGAGAAGGTTTTCTTTACTCACAAGATACTTGTGGAGAATACAGCCCTACAGAATTGTCTGGTGTAACTGGTTTGGGATTTTTGTCAGCTTAAGTAAAATGGAAGAGAAATAACTCCTGCTTTCAATCCCTTCTAGAAAATGCTTTCAAGCTTTTGATTAAAAGTCTTAAGTCCTTTTTTCTGCTTTAGAAGCTTGAAACTTTGTGAATGCTAAATAATTCAAATATGATAGTGTGGTGAAGCTCTTAATTTCAGTCCATTATAGTGTTATAAACCCTGTTAAAAAACGTTGTAAATTACTTCATAGTACACTTTTCTTGATTTATTCAAGCAAGTTTGAAGGGGAATAAATGAACAGTCACCTTTAAATGTAGTTGTTAATATTTAACTGTGTTCCAAATGCTTTTTCAAGACCTTAGTAAAAAAATCAGGTTGATACAGCCAAAGAAAATAGGAGAATTTACTGGTGTAAAAACCTGAATGAACTTCATCTCTTATAATATTGTAGCTTTTGCCATGCTGCCTGAATGCTGTTTGCAGGCAGGATTTCTCCTTGGAGCTCGGTTTGGAGGATGGTGATCTGCAGAAGGTCAGTGCAGGACTGGCAGAGGCAGGTTCTGAATTAATTCCACCCTGAGCCTGTTCAGTTCTGGCACAATTGCACACCCAGGTTACTGAGCTCATTGTGCTCTGGCCTGAGCAGATCTCTGAGCCTTGAGAGAGGAGAGCTGCTCTCAAGATAAGCTTGTAGATAAAAGAGGAGCAAATCACCTTTAGTTTTCAGTTGAACAGGCACAAAATAGCTGAAATTTCATTGTGTGTTAGCTTTGCTGCAGAGCACAGAGCCAAGTGCTGCATTTTTCAGAGGAGAGAATCCTCCTGGCTCCTCTGAAATATGTGCACTGTCATAAAACTGTCATAAATTCCAGATATCTTCAAAGCATAAAGTAATCCCATCCAGCTGTTAGGGAGCATTTACCCTGGCTGGAACACAGCTACTTTCATTTTGAGTACACAGCTAATAAAAGTCCCCAAAAGGATGTGAGCATGCATGTTTCATGTTAAAAGAGGACTAACAAACAGGATACACACACACATCCTTACCCATTCTTATCTCCACCAGTATTTCCATTTTTTTTTCCATTTTTGTCAGCGTTCTGAAAGATAATTCACTTCCAGAAGTCTGGCACCAAAAAAGCAATTGTCGCAAAATTGCAACAAGAATAGACTAATTTTTTTAAAAAAAACTTTCTTTAAGATTTACACACTTTCTAGGTACAGATACACTTAGTGTAGCCATGTAGTACTTGTCTTCTATTTCATGCAATGCTGCTTTCTGGAAAGACTTTTGCTGCAAAGACTTAATTTTTACCTCCTGTACAGATCAAAGCTACATGTTTTACAAGAAATTGAATGCTGTCCTCAATGCACCTTGGAATCAAGCAATGCTTTTATTTGTGCTTGGGCCATAAGTGTAGAATAACAAAAATTGAAGTAAAAAATGGTTCAGATTCCTTTTTTTTAAAACTCATCAACACTGAGTAGGCCATATTCTATTCAAAGTGCTATATTGATTTTAAAAATGCACAAGCAAAGGACATGAGTGTGCTTATGTAAGCCTGTGTTCAAATACTGACTCCAGGGTGTGCATTCTGTGCTGTCTGGTTGATTCATCAGAGCAGTCAGGATGCCAAAACACTTCTCTCCTTGGTTTAAGCTGATGCTTTAGCCAAAAATCATTGAGTTATGGAAAGACATGCTTCCTTTTTTTGTTTGGATTGGATTGTGATACAAGGGAAATGTCAACTTGTTAGACTTAATTATGACGAAATTTAGAATAAATTATGAAGCTGTCTGTACCTCTAAGTGTTTCAGACATTAATGTCTGAAGCTATTACTGGATTTTGTGAGAATGACTGTTTCTTTTATGGTTCTTCTTTATGCCCAAAGTGAAAAATAACATGTGTTTGGTATGGAAAGAAACATTACTAGTCAGTGTTTAAGGGTTTTGATGGTCTATATTTGCCATTTACTGCCTTTCCAGAAGCTGGCATTGAAGAGGCAGTAGCTGGGACTGCTGCTAAGTCTATTCCAGAAATATTTTCATGTTCTCACCCACTGCCAGGAGCAGATAGGCACAGCTTTATTCCATGATTTGAGAGTCAGTGAATCCTGATTCAATGGAGTTGTAGTTCACCTTTGTAATCTTCTGTAATGGATACTCTTTTCTTTTGTGGATGTATCTTTAAAAGCTTTTAAAAGCATTTTACTAGTAATTTTCTGCCATGGGAGGAAGCTTGCCAAGCTCTGCACACTTAAACTTCAAATCTTGTTTTAAGGCTTTAATATATTATAGCACAGAATCATATTAATGGCTTTGTTTTCTCAACCCACTTATTTAATTACTAATACAACAGAGACATAGACACATGCTTTTATTTTCTTCATGTCCTGACTCTTTTGAGAGCCAAGCCAAGTTTGGATATGGGAGTCTCTCCTCCTTGTGCAGAACAAGGGGTGGAGAAATGGCTGCTGTGCAGGATGCTGCTCTGCTGGAGTTCTGATGTCCACAGTTCAGGGAGATTGAAGCTGGGGATGTGTCTAAAAAAGTGATCAAAATTGCTTTGTTCTTAATTTGTAACTGCAAGTTAGAAACCATGTTTTCTGTAGTTGAGTTTCTTGATGTTTGTGGGGTTTTTAGCTGTGGAAGTTTTCTGGGGGGATAAAAAATTTCAAAGAGTTGCTGGGTTATAATAGTTAACATCTGTTTCTTGGTTTTTAAAAAAAAAGTATTTTCACTGACTTTAGATCCTCTATTAATTTAGAATTATTGCAAAAAGCAATAGGAGAAAATTTTAAAATTAGTGATATGCTGGTTAAAACCACTTTAAAATAGTGAGTTTTAGAAAAGCCATAGGTTTGCAGAGATTGATAGCTCAGTCTGTTAAGCAGTGTAGAAAGTTTCATGGGGAATACTGTTTTTAGTCTTTCCTATGTGAGCTCAAGGGAATCCTCATTTTGTGGCGGCTGCTCCTGCTCTGCAGTTTCCAGTTCAGGAGTCCTGCTTGAAATGCTGCTTGGTTGTGGATCTACCAGGTTGTTCTAGTACCATCTATTTTTCACTTGATATTTTTATGTTCTGTCTCCAGAAAGTCTTACAAATTTGTAACTCTGTTGTTTACTCCTGGTTGGAAAGTGTCTTCCACAGATCTTTTTATGACAATGATGTGCTGCTTAACTTTTGTAAAAATCACCTATTTAAAAACCATCTACCCTAAATATAGAGGTGGCTTCACTGCCATCCTACCTATTAGTCATAAAAAGACAAGGGATGATAAATGCCCTTCTAGTTCATTTATCTCCAGAAAAGCTTTTTCCTCATTTGACAATTTATCTGAAAGTATGTCCTTGAGTTGCTTTAATACTTTGTGGTCTGAAATGTCTTGAAGAATAATTCTAGATTAGATTCCAGCAGAATTCTCTTAATAGAGCCAATTACTTAATAAAGGCAGTAACAAAGAAGAAATTATGGCAGAGATTTTAGATTGATGTTCTGTTTACCATCAATTCTTTGAGAAATAAGGGCTTAATGCAAGATTGATTTCATTATACTGACCAAGCTTTTTCAAAAAAACCACAAGTAGTTAAAAGCATTTAGGAAATAAAATTTGCCGTATTTAAATGTGCCAGTTATGTGCTCAAAGCCCTACATGAAAAATTAAATTTTCAGTTTAAATGACAATCTGTCCCCTTTCTAGATTTGTTTTTACTGTCTGACCAATATTATACTTCTTTTAGTCTGAGAGGTAATAATAATTCATAATGCTTAGAGCAATTGGAAACAGAAACCAGTCCCTTTTAATTGTTTCCTTCCGTTGTATTTAATTCAGCTTCTCTGGATACATTAAAATTCTTGGATGATAGGCTTGCTTTCTGCTTGTTGTCTTAATAATAAGAGCTGAACCCTACAAGATGATTTAGGAAAATGGGGTATTTTGAGTTTGGTTTTGTTTGAGAACCAACCAAATGTGTAGGTGTACTTTGAGTGGCCCTTTTTCATCCCAATGTTTATATTAAAAATTCAGCATTCTATGGATACTTGCTAATATTAAAGTGAAGTTTTTAGTTTGTACAATTGTAATGTTGAAGAGAAGACTTGCTTGTTGTAATTTCATTGTGGCAATGCCAGTGTACCTCTTTCTCCTCCCCTTCCCACATCACTTGCTCATCTTGGGGAAGGAGGGAGAACATTTCAGCCAAGAGAGAAAAACCAGGTTTGAGTTTTTCTCCCTCAGTGGATTGTATAGCAAAGCACACAGGATCATTCACACCTGATTTTTACAACCAGCTTGCCACACAAGTCTGTGACAGAAGAAGCCCCTCTCCTGCCTTTATCCCTCTCACTGACACAGATGTGAGCCCGAGGCCTTATTGGATACAGGGTAGGAGGAGAGAACTTCCCAAATAGTGACTTCTGTAAATTGACACATGTAGAAATTTATTTGCTTTAACAATCTGACATTTTCCCCTTTTTTTTCCTTAAAACCTCATCCTATGTGTTGCATATGCTTCCTTAATTTAAGTAACATTTAGAAAGCTTTAACCATGCATTAATTTAAATCTAATTTCCTGTCTCTCTTGAGGAAAAAAAGAGAGTGCTTTTTTTTTTTTCTGCCTTTATTTTTTTCCCTTTTGGTGTTGAGTTTTCCCAGCCTGTGGCTGGAGGAAGCTGTGAGCAGAGCAGTTCCCACAGCCCGGGGGGCTCCGCTGTGAGCCCCAGCACGTACACTGAGCCCCAGCCCGGGGCCACTGCACAGCACAGGGGCTGGAGCTGGGCAGGAAACCCAGATTTCCCTCACATTCTTCTAGAAATTGCCCAGAGTTTTGTTTTTTTCCTCTGTCAGAGGAGGTTGTGGCTGTTGTTCATTTGAAGTCCGAGTGGCCAGAGCTGCCTGGCACAGAGCGCTGGCTCGGGGTGGAGTTCTCTGCCTTAGCAATGACCACTTTCAGTGTCTTGTCCAAGACAGCTGATGATGATGATGATGACTAAATTGCTGTCAGGTGAAAGGCTGGCTCAGGTGATTGTGGTCCTGCACTTCTGTCACTGGAGGTTTCTGCTGCTAAAACTTTGAAAACTAAGTAAACTTCTGTGTAGCATTTACGTTTTTGAAAAAATTCTTTCACTTAGGATTTTTTTCCTGGGAAGCTGAGAAGCCTCAGAGAAAAGGAAAACAATTCTTATATCATTTGCTTCTCTTGTATTTTGCTCCTTTGGAATGTGTTTAGAGATTTTTTTACCCAAAGGTGATTGTTTCATTAAATTCTGGTGTGAGTTGCTTTGACTCGTTGGCCAACCTGGTTTGAGACTCTAAAAAGAGTTACAAGTTCTTCTTATCTTTTTAACATTGAGTAAGTATCTTTTCTGTGTTCTTTAGCATAGTTTAGTACAGTATTCTTTAATATAATATAGATAATAAAGTAATAAATTAGCCTTCTGAGAACATAAAGTCAGATGCATCATTCCTGCCTTCACTGGGGCATTTCCCTGCAAATACAATACTTCTGCTTCAGCCCAGTTAAGTGGGTTAGATATTAAAGCATATTTATATTTATATTTCTCCATGAGAGTGTAAAAGAGATATGATATATTGTTGTTACTGGTTGTTTCCTAATTAAAGTTTAAACTGACTGCTATCCACTTAGCCTCTCTAACATTGTTTGACTGCCAACAGCCAAATACACACTCATTTAAAAGGTCACTGAGGCATCTTGTTCAAAACTCTTTTGGACTGGGCTGACTCTCCAATAATTTATACAGTCTCAGGAGATGCATTTACCAGTGCCACTGAGTTTCCTATGGGAACTAAAAGATCAAGAGTGCAAGACAGCAGTTTTCAATTTCAGTTTCAATCCCAAAGATTCTCTGCTACTATCAGCACTAAATCTGCTGGAACATCTTTATTTCCAAATGAAAGTTAACTTTTGTTTGTCTTCTTGTTCACATCAGTTTCTATAGAGAAATGGTCTGTTTAAAAGAGAAAATACTTTCCCTCATCAATTAGAAATTTTGTCTGGATATGAATGTCGTAGAAGGAGAAAATAGAATGAACATGAGCAGAGATAGGAGCACATTGTCTAATCAGGGATTTGGGGTACAATTCTTTGACTCATTTGCTTTTCTGTCTTGGGGCTGTGCTGTGGAACATCAGGGTGGGCAGCAGGATGCAGCTGTGGGACACCTGGTGCAGGTACAGCTGTGTCCTCCTCTGGATCCTGTGGATGGAAACACTTCCATGGGTGTTACACTGGGTTTGGGTTTCAGTTGGTTTTGTTTAATCCAGTTTGGTTTGGCTGTTTGTTTCAATAGAAACGCTAATTTAGTATCTCCAGTGTGAATCTCTGGCCCTTATTCCCATGCCTCTGAAAAAATGAAATTTCCACTTTTAAATTTGTGTTTGTGGTACAGTTGCACTAAATCCATTACCTTCTCTAGCACAACATTTTACAGCTTTTAACACACACTCAAGCACACATTTTGCACTTTTATGGGGGGGAGGATTTAAACTTACCAGAAATCAATATATAAAATAGCTGACTTTCTTACCACTACATTATTTTGTTTTCCTCTGTTAGTAGTGCAGTTCTTACCACAGAACTTTGATACTGGGCTGTCCACTTTCTGTGCCAATTTCTTTGAAGGTATTAAAATAAAGTATTGATCAATTGGTAGCATGTAATAATTTTTAGATTACAATTGTAATATTGATTCTATTTTTTTCCCTTCAAGAATATTGACATCACAAACTTCAGCAGCAGCTGGAATGATGGCCTGGCTTTCTGTGCAGTTCTCCACACTTACCTCCCAGCCCATATTCCCTATCAAGAGCTGAACAGCCAGGACAAGGTAAGACATTAAAAATCCCATTCCCAGGACTGCAGTGCTTAGGTTAACATGAGTTAATAAAGACCAGTGAAGTAATTTCAGTTCTAAACCCCCCAGTGTTACTAGGATTTCCATAAATCTCTTTGTATTCTGGTCTGCCGCAGTTCCTACCTACTAATTAGCCCAGGGTGTACAATCAATGATAATAGATCCTCAAAGCAAAATATTATTTCATTAATGCATGAAGAGATTTTATTTATTTATTCTTTTCAGAGAATAAATAATCTCTTCTTTAGCATTTTATAACTCAGCTGTTCTTCACTGACAATGATATTCAGCATTATCTTTTGAACAGGCAATTGATAAATTTTTTTATACATTTTTGATGATATTAAAACACATTCATTCCTATGACTCTTTAAAATTACTGTAGTCTAATTATATACTCCATTTGAAGTTTAAGTAGTAGCATTATTATGAACATTCTTGAGACCATTTTGTTGTGTTTGAAATAGTATTTCCTTGTTTTCTAACATGTTTTTATATCTCATGCAGAGAAGAAATTTCACTTTGGCTTTTCAGGCAGCTGAAAGTGTTGGCATCAAATCTACTCTGGTAAGATTTAAATGTATATTGAATTAATTATGATCCACTTATAAAATCCAAATAACTCCATTTTGTAGTTTCAAAAGATCTGGATGTTTATACTTAAAAATAGCAGCAGATGAGCTCAGCTAGAGGTTATTGCACTAAATAATGACTGAACTGCAGACTGGTTAAGCTTTAAAAGGAAGGTTCACCAACACTTATCTCCCAATATGAAAATAAATGTTAATGACAGCAGTGGATTTTTTTGAGAATAATTTGAGAATAAGATTTCAATAATCCATTAAATCTGTCCTGTCTCTAACCTACTTCTAAATTATTCAGGATTTTTTGAACTCTGGAGCTACAAATCAAGCAATGTAATTTGTTCCTTTTTCTCAGTGTAGTGTGAGTTGATATTTGCCTCTTAAGGTTAGACTTTTAATTTGTCATCATTGCAAATAGTTGTAAGATTTTTTCAGTGATGGTTTAAAAGTTGTCTTACACAAATGTCACTATAAAAGAATTAGTTTTCAGCAGTAGAGTGTTTACTAGAACAGGAGTATTTCTGAAGGTGTGGAGTTGGGAGTATCCAAACCCTTGTGAGTGATCACAAAACTCAGCTGAAATGGCCACTATTAGAAATGAGATTTAAGTGATACTTCTGCAACCTAAGTTCTAACAAAGCTGCCATAGTTAGCAACTAACAGTACAACAGAGTTTTTAAAAATAACACTTTCCTTGATCCTTATCAGTGCTTTTACCCCCCAGCATTGTGTTTGCTGACAATGGCAGTGCAGCTCCTGGGCTTTCCTACTTTGACTTTGGCACTGACTTGAGATGTGGGAGTTTTTCACCAAGTGTTGATGTAAGAATGAGATAGTGGAAAATAACTACAGAAATTCTTGCATAACTCAGCCTTAGTCCAAATGGTTGCTGTCTGCCCTTCCTTTTTGTGATGTACTTCATTAGAGAGACTCCAGACAGGCAGATTGAATGGAATTCAGTCTAAGTGCAAATTGCATCCATCTGAAGAAGTTAGCAGCTGTTTGCATACCTGCATGCACACTGTGTGTGATGGGGAGGTTTGTGCATTTTTTCTCATCCATATTACACGAGTGAGGGGCTAAGAAGGGTCTGAAACCTGCTGTATGTAAACAGGAGTGGAATGCAAGTAGAAGTTACTCATTCTCTGAAGATGTTCAGCTAAAAGAACTCACAACTTCTTTTTTGAGTTCTGGAGATTCCTATATCCAAAGCTTTCAAACAGACTAAACAGAAATTACTAGGAACTGCATCACTCTGCTTTGCTTTGTGCCATGTGCTGAAGAGGGTAGATGAGAGTCAGTTATTTATTGGTGCTCAACCTGATGGGAATTTTGAACTTTAATTAATATCTGGGCCTCGATTCCGTGGCTCACAGCTCCTGGGTGGGTTGTGTTGATTTGCAGGGCTGATGCAGGGTTCTGTGAACACTAAAGTCTGACTGCTGTACCAGCTGTGCTCAGTGGGGCACAGCTTGAGCATGCACAGCATCAGACATTTCAATCTTAAGTCAACAAAAGAGCTGTCTACAGATATGCTATTCATTACAGTTTGTAAGTAATACCAAGATATATGGAAGAAAACAGAGCTTTCTTCATCAGTGCTTTAAACTGTGGAAACTTGACAGATTTCCCATTGCCAGGAATGTGTGAAAGCAGTGCCACATTGCTCTCAGGGTTTCCATTGCTGCTTTTGACCGATGTGTTTTCTGTGACAGGACATCAATGAAATGGTGCGAACGGAGCGTCCGGACTGGCAGAATGTCATGCTGTATGTTACAGCAATTTACAAATACTTTGAAACCTGAACCCCAATCGTTCAGCACATCCATGGGATACAACCAACGTGAGCTACCAGATGGAAATCTTACTGAAATGCTAATCCCCATTTCACTCAAAACTGGCAACATTTGAGTCCCCTCCAACTTCAGTGACACTATCATGGATTGCTTCAGCTACTAAGCATGGGAACAACTGTTTAAAAGTGAGAACTTGTTGCCACAGTGCTTGGAATAACCCAAGTTATTAAGCTATTCAGATTAATTATGTAGCCTAAAGAGCCTGAATTACTTCTGTGCTGCCTTTCCAGTCAGACTTCCTGAAACTTTCTTTGCTGGGAGAGAGATGAATGCTTCCTCTGGCATATAGGAGACTGAATGTACAGATAAAGCTTTGAGAAGGAAAAGGATAACATGGCATCATATCACTGAACTTTCTGTAGCATCCTGATTTCACAGACTCTGAATACTCTACCCACAGCATACGGCAGCCCCATGCAGTAGAGTTCTTAATGGTAACTTAGTTACTGCCTATACAGCTATTTTCCATCCTTTAAAATGTGCACAATATTCTAGGAAAACAAGCTTTGATTCCATAATGACAAATTGAGGGGAAAAGCGCTCTTGATACCTCGAAAAATCTGGCACAGAAGAAGTCTTCATCCTAAAGCTTCATTATAAGCCTACCTCTGTCACAGTGATGTGGCTTTCATCTTTATCTTATGGATTGTAGAGACTAGCACATGCAGCTCCTGGCTTTCAGGGTACACTACACTTCAAGGAATCTGTGCAAAGTCCCTGTGCTTCCACTCTAACAGCAATGAATCAATGATCACCCCCTGTCTGGCTTGTTCCTTGCTCTCTCCCTGCTCTGCCTGTGCTGCTTTCCCCTGCAGCAATACGAGCACAGATCATGGATGGCTGTGCTGGAACTGTGCAACTGGGACAGCATTTCCTCTGCAGAGAAGATACTCTCCATAAGATGTAATAATGAAGTAGTTTGTCTCAAAATCCAACTTTGCCATGTTTTCTGTGTGTTTTTCCTTGGTCTTGCACATGCTCATCTGAGTGACAGGAGGTGAGATGTTCTCTGGGAAGGACTGTGGAGGAACTGATGTAATGTGTGTCCACCCAGCCGTCTCAAATACTTCGTGGAAATGACTCACTGTCACAAGGAAGGAATTGAGAAACTGTAGTCTGCTCAACTTCTTTTTCTTTCTGAAAATGTACCTGAATTCATTTAGCAGCTCTTGGGCAAAAGAGTTTAAGTGCCTTAGCTATCATTGAGTTGATAGATGCTGGCACTTCAGGGCCTGCTGTGGAATGTTAATGGCTCCCGATGGTTTTGTGGCTCCCTTTGTCACGAGCTGTTTGTTGTAATCTTGTTTGTCAAATCCAGGGGAGACTTCCTTCTGTCATTGCTTCTGCCTCTTGCTTTTCTGAACACTTAGCAGCAGTTCAGCCATGGAACATCTCATTAATATTAAGCAGAAGCCAACTTGAGCAGTGAGTTCTGTAACAGCTGCTATTTATAAGCACAGGCTCTTTCAGCAGTAACCCCATTGTAAAGAAAATAAATCTGTTCTATGGTGCTCTTATGACTGTTAAGGACAGTTTGAATGTCATAGATGTTAACCCAGTGAATGCAGCTGTGCTTGGCATCTGTGAAACTTCTTCATGGTAAAAAAGCACAGATTTAACTCAAAAGTATTGCCAAATCCAAAACCCCATCATCTGAAGAACATAGCCCATGTGAAGAGTAATAATTCAGCATGTCTCTAGCATTGTATAAGAATACACATTTACACTGATATGTGCCTGTGAGAATTATGGAACTTTGCAAAATAGCTATTTAACCTGTGCTGAGGGCCTTTGGAGAAGTTTGCAGAGCAGTGGTGTCTCAAACATTCTTGCAGCTCTTTAGAACTAGAAGTAGAGACCCTCAGATTATTAACTGGTGCATTTGAAGAGCCAGCATAATCTAAAGACAATTGTTGCAAGCGAGGTTTCAAGTGAAAGATCTTCATTAATAGATTTTAATAAAAGTCTGAAATGCATTTTCCTCTCCTCTATATTTCTTCAAATTTTTTTTTTACTTTATTAGTTTCAATAAGAATAGTCTTAGTGGAAATACACATTAGTGCTGCCTTGCTTTCTATCTCCTGTTATTAAATTCCAGATTTTGCCAATCAGTGTTTAAAAACCCTTCTGTTTATCCTCTGAACTGATATCCTTATCTATGATTGTCTTATTCATTGCCTTAGAGTTAAAAAATAATATTTTTCTAATGAAAAGGATAGCATTTCTTGATCTAAATTCACTCATCACCTGTTTTGGTGAGGTAATTCAAGCTTTGAGCTGATTTTTTTTCTGTCCAATGGTCACCTTCATTTACCTGGAGTGTTGTCAGAGTCCTGAACTGCAATAATCCTGAGAGTGTCACCATTTGTCAAAGGAGAAATCATGTTTGCCAGATCCCTTCTGTTGAAACATGAACTTCTGGTCTTCAGAAAGGAAGAGAGAGAAAAGCTAGCAGTAATTGTAATAGGGATCTTGTTATGAACTTCAGAGCTCTGTGAACTTCTTCTTGCTGTGATCTGTGTGATAAAACTCTGTGAATCCAGCCCAGGAGCCCTGGGCTTCAGAAGAGGTTTCTGTGTCCTGATGTGTCTGAGCCTTTACGTGTCAGGTGCTGCCCATGGAAGGAATGAAGCAATGGGAGAGCAAAGCAAACACAAAGCCCTGCTGCACTCCACAGTGTGGCTCTTCCTGAAGGTTCAAACCACATTCAGTTGCTCAAGAGGAAAAATAGCAGTAGTCCTTCTGGATGTGGAATAAACACACTGTTGTGTTTTGTTTCTGTTCATAGTTAATCCTCAAAGAGCCTGCTTTTCTGTTCATGTCAAGTGCAACTTTATGCTGACTTATTTCCCTTTTAATCCAGAAGGTAGTGCTGAATGTACTGAAAATATGTTGTCATCCATTTATATTTTCTATGTGCCTTGCAAAAGCCTGTGCTGTGGAACATCAGGGTTACTCCTGGTCAGGGTGGGCAGCAGGATGGAGCTGTGGGACACCTGGTGCAGGTACAGCTGTGTCATCCTCTGGATCCTGTGGATGGAAACACTTCCATGGGTGTTTCACTGGGTTTGGGTTTCAGTTGGTTCTGTTTAATCCAGTTTGGTTTGGCTGTTTGTTTCAATAGAAACACTAATTTAGTATCTCCAGTGTGAATCTCTGGCCCTTATTCCCATGCCTCTGAAAAAATGAAATTTCCACTTTTAAATTTGTGTTTGTGGATAGTTTCTCCAGAATATAGTATATAATTGTGACATGTTCCAATTTAAAGGTAGATTTTTGTCTATTTTGCATAGAATATATTCTTTGAGTTCCATGTAGTGTTTCTGATAATTTTTGCCTCCAATTTTATTAAATATTTCCACTGTTTGTGTTTTTCTGTAATGTCCATCATTGTGTCTTAGAAGGCCCTTAATTTGCCAGAGCTAAATGAACTCTGTTTTAATTTATTGGTGTAGACTCCTGTTCATGTCCTGGCAGAGAATGCTGTGGTTTCAGGTGCATGAGGAGAAATGAGCAGGAGCCCTCCTGCCATGGTGCAGTGCTGTGAGCTGAGGCTCTGCCCTGGGAATGGAGTCTCATTTCTCTTCCTGATCTCATTGTTAAGTTTTAGCTTTTTTCAGTCTGAACACTCCAGACATTTGGGTTCTTTTGCATCACCAGATTACTTTCACTCAGTTCTGTTTCTGCACAGATTTGGCCCAGGGCACAGTTTTTATTCCAGCCTAGTTTTAACCCAGGTTATTTGGGAAGCTGGAGGTTTGGAGAACTTGTGGGTGTTTTTCTTCCTGCCTGTGCCTGCTCTGGGGACACTGCCTGGGGTTCAGGTGGTGTGTGACAGTTCCTTCCACAGGCTGAAGTGAAAGTTGCACCCTTAAACTGTGACTCCTGTGGGGACTTCACTTCTTGTTTGCCTCTTGCCACTAACACAGCCCCAGGCAGAATCTCCTAAGGGGTAAAACTCTTTGGAAGGAATCCAGCTGTGCATCTTCATGCTGCTTTCTGCCTACTGTGAGTTATGCTGGGGTGCTGTAGAAAGAGAACCTTAAAATAGCCATGTTCATGGATGGACTGAGTTAACTGTATGGTTTGTTTGTGGTCCTTCCTTAGACTTGGTGGTAAATATTTATTTCTGTTTATTTCTTTTTATGTTCTGTGAGCTCTATTTCTGCAACTCCTTCCTTAAGCTGCCATTAGTGGATCCCTTTCTTTAGGCTGATATTAACCAGTTTGAGGCATTATTTGGTGAGAAGGGCTATTAAATATCTTTGTCAGCCAGGAGTGCTGGACATGGCACTGTGCTTTCCCAAGTTAGTGTGTGTTGGCTGGCAAAACACAGACAGCCCTTAATACATTCAATTGTCCCTATTTAGAAAGGTATTTTTAATAGTGTTCCTGCTTTCACAGGAGAGTGGCTGGATGGGTTTTAAATTACTGTGTGGCTTGCTGTGTCCCTCCTTCATCTAAGGTTCTTCTGCTGTGTTCCCTGATTTCACAATCAGCCTTGTAGTACACTCTATAATTATCTAACCCAAGATGTTCAGCATCTGGAATATGTAGCAAGTATGCTGTGGGTAATTAATGCTAAATAACTTTAAAGGTTGAGGTTTGTACAGATCTGATTTCTGTTAATTGATACAATTTTTTTTTTCTTTGTGTTTTTGCTGCACTTGCCTAAAGTTGTTTGGATGCAACACCCTTGAGCTTGGTTTGACAAAGCCACTGTCCTGATCTCCTGAGCTAATTCATTCTGGGATATTAGAATTATTTGCTCCCAATGAAGCTTTAGTAAAACCTATGGATCCCAGATGACTTCCTTCCAAGTGACATTAGCTTTTGCTTGGAATATTCCTTACTCCAAGGCCACTGCCTGCCCCAGAGCTGCATGTGGGCTTCCCATCAGTCCCAGCAGCACCTGGGGATGCAGAGCAGCAGGGTAAACTTTGGCAGAATATCACAGCAGCCTGATGCAATTAAGCTGGTTTCATTTGAATCCCCTATTTTCAGGGGTTTTCAATTTAGACAAAATAATTTACTGAAAGCTGAAATGTGGCCTGTTAGTTCTCCACTGGGAAGTATGCTTCTGTTTAATAATATTTTTATGAGATTGTATTTATGGAAATGGAAAGAAAAATGTCATAAAGCTAGTTTTGTTGCACTTTTCTAAGGCTTTTGTATTTTGCATAGTTCTAGAAGATGAGGAAGTTGCTTGGGGAAGTCAAGGCTTGGAACCTGTTCTGCCCCAGCACAGGAATGTGTGATGTGCATTTTCACCTAGTGATCCATGTATGATTTTCATTGCATGTAGCTGATGTATTTATGTGGCAGTGAGGGAGCCCAGCAGACATTTCGTGCTGCACAGGAGCCATTGGCAGTCCCAGTTCCACAGTTCATCAGCTGACCTGTTCTCTGGACTGCACTTGCAATAATGGAATTGTCCATTTTTGATTCTGAGCTCTTTCAACAAATGAGGAAAAAGGGGGCTCCTTTTTTTTTTTTCCTTTTTTCTTTTTTTTATTCCATTATTGAAATTTTTCTGGAGGCTTTTAATGGTTTCCAATTATTGTATTTGTTCATGTTAGAATGGTTACTTGGAAATCAGTTCATCTAGGAGGGCACAAATACATGTAACATTCTCAAGTAATTAATCCTTGTAACTTACAACATTTCAGTTTGATAGAAACTTTTGGTTTTATGTGTATTGTAAGGTTAATTTTTCTGTCTCTAAGTAGCACTTTTATATGTATCTGAAGGGTTTTTTTGAACAGAAATGTGTTTTTTCTGTATATTATCTAATGGGAAGAAAGTATAACACTGCTAAACAAGGCATAGAGTAGTTTGCCTCCAGACTGTAAGTTCACTTTAGGTCAGTAATGATCAGGAGTTGTTCAGAGTATCTGAAATAAATCAGTGATCCCATTTACTGCTGGACAACTCCCCTGATCCAACCCAGAAGGGCATTAATTGGTACCCTCCTCCTCTTGGAGGGTGCTTCCAGTTCAGGTGTGAGGCAGAACTGACACAAGTGTGAGGAATTTTGGACTTGGTGGAAGAACAGAATTTATTGATGCCTCAGTCTGACTTCACAGCACTATACTGGATAAGGACTAACCTTGTTTGAGATGACACTGCAGCCAGTAATGATATCTCCTAAATAGCTAATTTAAAGCTCACTTTCTGTGGCCTTTAAAGATGACCTAAAACCCAGTGATTCTAAAAGCTCTTCTCATCCTTCCAGCTTTTCTGATTTGTATTGGTTTTACTCTTCCCTGGAACACAGCCGCTGTGTGTCAGTCTGTGGATGGGTTTAGAAATTCCTCCAGACAAGTGCAAGTACTTTGCTTTTTTTTCCAGAACCCTTTTGGATAGTTTACACATATCTTACATAGAGAGAGGCTTTGCATCAATGTACAGATGTACCCACATGTGTAAATGTGTGTGCAGATAGGTGCTCCTGCAGGTTCTGATAACATGGAACGTGTTTCAACGAGTGCTTATGTCTTGAATACTTAGGCTGGTGTATTAGTGTAGATATTTAAATGGCAAGGAGGAAAAAACATGTTGTTTGCTTCTGGTTAGAGCTGGGAAATGCAGCTCTGAGGAAAATCTGAGTGTTCCAATTGTATTTGTGGTTTGAAAGACACAAGTTGGCCATGATTGGAACATGAGAAGTCAGCAAGCCTGTGTTAAGCTAAACCTTTTGGAGGACCCAATATGCTTTCAGTTTGCAAGGACCACTAGAGACCTGGGCATTTTACTTTCTCCATGATGTATTCTGTATGAGTATTTAGTATGTATGCCTTCAATTTGCCAATGTTGCCATGTTTTCTTCTTAATTATTCATGAAATAAAGGTTGCAAATAGGAGAATGTGTGTTTGTTTTCTTGGGGCTGCTCTCAGGCTGCCTCTGGCACTGTTTGCTCAGGAGTGTTGCAGGAAGCAGGGCTGGAGGTGAGCAGTGTGTGCACTCAACCCCAGG